GTGGTATGAACATTACACACACCATATCACAGATTATAACATAATAAACATCTACAGCTTTATAAATCATTGACTTTTACCTGTACTTTTTATTAAGTTTCTTCTTTTTTCTATTCTTTTTGGGGGGGATGGCAGTGTTGGTTTTTTTGCTTGTGGTATATTGTTGATATCACCTAAACATCAATTTTATTCAATGTAATTATGTGTAATTTAATTATTTTTTTACCTGGAAAAATGAAAAATAAATTCATATACGTACTGTCCTCTATATCGGTGATGTCACTATCTGACTCTAAAAGCCGTAAAGGTGGTCTCTTTAGCCTGGTTTGCTTTTTTCCAGAGATGGAAGCATCAGAAAGTTCAGGGCATGACGTATTTTGAGCTTTAATCATGAGCTTTTGTGCTGTAATGTAGTCAACTAAAGAAAAAAAAACATTATTGGGAACAAAAGGTAAAATATTTATAAAGCATTATGAAGAAAAAAAAATACTGAGTAAAATGATCATTGTAAAAATGATTGATAATTACTGAAAATGGATAAGAATTCAAATTTCAGCTATTAGTGTTACTGCCTTTATCTCCGATCCTCATTAATATAAAACAGACAATACAATTTATTGACATACCTGATGATTTGAAAACTCTATGGACTTGCAATCTGATCCATCTGATTTTATCAGGTAAGGACCTTTTTCTCACAAGAGATTGTGCATTGTTGGGTGGCCAATAACAATAGATGTCCTGGGAAAGTATTAATATAAATATTAATACAGCTACCAACATGCAATACAAAGTACCTTATATTTACAGACCACTGCAAACATCACACCTGCTGTTTATCTATTTTGGTACTTAAATTAGAAGTTAATTAGCACTCTTTTTGGTATTTACTTTTCTCTAAATACAAGATGTGCATGACGTGTGTTTACAATTATAAACATATTTTCCACATTATGGACATACTGCGTTTTAGTTAACATAATTGCATTTAATACGGTGGTATAGTAGAGTAGTATACTCCTTACCTCATCTAATTCTTCTTTCCATACATCTGGAATTACAGCAACACTGTGGTCTGAGGTAAATTCAACAACTGAAAACATTCTGAAAGACAAGTTACATGAGTCATTTGAAAACAACAGTAAGTGGTTAAACAATAGAGTTTAATGCAACTTACACATAATTAAAATCCACAAATTATCAATAGGAGAATTTGCTGATGATGTGTAGTCATGATTGTGAAGGAGAGCTCTTTAGTCATGATTATAAAGGAGAACTGATTAGCCATGTTTGTGAAGGAGAGTCAGGTAGACCACCCTTTGCTCCTGGTCAATCTTTATTGCTCTTTTACTCTGACTGACTTTTTCTTTTGGGATCATTTGTTGAAGAGTGTTCTTTTGGCAAAAATATGCTCCAATTATTGATGATTCACAGGGCACCGTAAACAGGGGAGATGGATGGAGAAAAATTCTACACAGGTATTCATCCTTATTTTTATCAATGACCTCACAACATTTGCCATCTTCCAAAATAATGCAATTGTCTGGTTGTCTAAAAGAAATGACATTGCCTCTTTGAACACTTTGTAAGGTTGTATCATCTTGGACTTCTTTGATCCTTTTCACAATTTGCACAAGAGGGCTCTTTCCTGAGCGCACCATTCTCTTCAACTTCTGCATGTGATTCTCAAACGGAAAAGCACTGCATTCATCCAGACAACCATAAGTCTTTGCATCAGATGCAAGGTGAAGCATTGAATGCACATTGTACACCAAGAATGATGATCCATACAGCTCTCTGCCCCTAGCTACAAAGTACTGTAGCAATTTGTGTGCATATGAAACATGTTGACTGACCAAGGAGGGGCAGAGTAAGATGGAAATAGCAACACTAAATGTCAGGAAGTGTTCATAAAGGTCTTGCCGCAGAATCCCTGATAAAACCAACTTTCCAGTGTAAACTAGGAACTGTCTAAGCTCTGTTGCTTTCCACCTTTCCAGGTGTCTCAAACTTCGTGGTTTTCGAGCAAAGCATGAAGGAATGCATTTTTGTAGATTGATAAGTCTTGCACTCACCACCTCTACTTGACCAGCAGACATCTTTGTCTGTATGCTCCGTCCTTTTTCTCCTCTTGACCAAATTGTTAACAATTTTTTCATAACACCAAGACATGCCTGGTGCATATAATCAATTGGAAACTGGCCAATCATATCAATAGGTAACTCAGCAAATGGTGTTGTTCCATTATGGTGTTCTGGTTGTTTTTGAACTCGAAATGAACAATCTGTTCTTAATTCAAAAGCATCAACTTCTTGATATGTCATCCTTTTTTCCCAGAATCCCTTTTGCTCACATCTATCACAACCATAATAAGCAGAAAATTGCTTGATGCTTTTTACCATTGCTTTAGCTGGTGCATCACATACAATACATCTCAGCTTAACTTGAATGAGATTTCCATCAAAAGTTAGACTACTTTCAAACAATTGTTTGAGTTCTGTTACAGCATCTTCCAGAAATTTAAGATCTAGAGGTCTTTGGGGTCCCAACGTCAGTGTTACAGGAAATACAGTCACTGGTTCAAGATGGATACAGCACAACACAGGCCATAGTGATAATGATGTACTTTTAAAAAGTGGAAGTCCATCAACGTTGAATGAAATCTCAAGAACATGTATTGTGGAAGTAATCTCAGAAGGATATCTTTTTAATGCTTTCTTAATTTGTTCAGCCAATGACAGATGTATGTACTGCATTCCAGATTTAATCTGAACATCAACTGCTCGCTCTGTCTTCAAAAGTGTGCGTGCTGTCATGGGCAATGTGTGATGCCCCTGTGAACGTAATACTTTTAGGAGGTCGTCCATAGCACACTGCCGAATATGGTGTTTGTTGGTCCATGCAATGAGGTCATCTGTCAAAGTATTTGTTTCAACATCTTCTTCGGAAAGTGACAAATACATGTCATGATCAGAAGAGAAATCAGTCCTTTCATCTGTCCTGAGCGTGTCCTCTTCGTTTAAGGATACATTTTCACTCTCTCTTGAAAAAGAAACTGTGCTGCACTCTGAAATTGATATTGATGAATACTGCTGTACATAGTTTTGAGGATTAGAACTAATGTATTCATCATTTACATAAGTTTGTGATTTTTGTTGACTACTTGAAAGAATATTGTTGGCTTTTCTCCAGTGTCTTATATATTCCCTCCTAGCAACTCGTCTTTTGTTTTCCATTCTTAAACAAACAAACAAACAAAAAATCATGTAATTTTACTAGACACACATTACTTTTTTAGATTTAAAAAAATTAAAAATAGCCTGAAAAAAGTGTATTTTAAATTCAAACATTTAAATCAAAAGGGCAATTTAGACTAGCAGATCTTTTAATTAATTTTAATATTAGCATTTTAACATCAACTTATATAATTTAAGATTTTACTTTTTTTTACTTTTATATACTAATGTTAATTAAACTGACAATTCTGTCACTATTTAGCCTCATCCTTTACTTATTACAAACTTACTTGGCTTTTTTTCTGTTAAACGAAAAAGATTTATTGAATAAAGCTGTAAAACTGTAACTATTGACTTCCATGGTACTTTTTGTACTATGGAAGCAGGTTACAGTTTTCTGATTTTTTCTTTCAAAGACTGTCTTTAGTGTTCAACAGAATAAAGAAACATAAAGGTTTGGAATCACTTGAAGGGTACATAATTCGTGAGAACATTTTCATTTTTGAGTGACCTTTCTCTTTAACGGACGCAAGGTGGAGTTTTGTATATTTACGTTAAGTCTGCTCGTTTTGTAAACGGTGGGTCAGCTGTGATCGTGTGACCTACTTGAAGTACTCGTAACTGACTGATCACGATGAATATGGAAAAAAAACGGAACTTTAAAAAACATTATCCTTTCGACTATAAAGACAAGGAGTAGGTAAAGTATCATGAAATGTTTTATCCAGAGATTTAACAACGGTTTTAATGTTGTCGCTGTCCGTGCACGGAGTGCTGAAAATGTTAACTCATGATACTCGCTCGTATTCATATATATGTGTGTGTCTTATTATTTCAATGTAATGTTGGAACAGATTTTTGCCTCATTGAAACGGAAAGTGTTGGTTTGTTGTAATATTCACATATCTTAAGATTTAGCAATACTCACGTCTCCTCGGTCGTTGATGAATGAAACGACCAACGGTCTGTTAAAATTCAAACTGGTTCAGTGATGACGAGTAATTACAATGTTGTACAGCGGTCGTCCACACCACTTAAAGCAGCGCTCTCATGTGATGTTTAAATGGCAACATTATGACATCGTTGTAACAACCTTCAGCAACAACGCTGAATCCTCAACCTTTTTGCAAGGTTGGTGCAACGTTGTAGGAAGGTCGCTACGTTGAGGCAACGTTGTGTGTTTGTTGGGTATATGTTTTACAGAGCCCTTCCAACTGCAACCCAGTACTGGGAAACATCCGTACACACTTACTCACACTCATACACTACGATCAACTGAACACGGGGAGAACAAACATGCAAACTCCACACAGAAATGCCAACTGGTGGTGCCAGAGCAGACTCGAACCAGCGACCTTCTTGCTGTGAAGTGGCAGTGCTAGTGACAGAGTGGAGGGGGATCAGATAATTGTATGTCATATAATGGAATTGTAACTTAATAACACACTGGTTTAAGGTTTGATTGTGGTTAAAACATTTTAATAGTTCTCAATTAGACGTTGTCGTGCAACAAAGCAGGAGTTATTATGGAAACAGGAGGCCAATAAGACTGCTGTTTTAATAAGATTGGTTTGCCTTGCTTCGAAACCACGAGTGATTGGTAGAGTTTTAAAAACAATTCCCCCTCAGCAACCTTTGAAGTGATTTCCTATTAAAAGACACGATTTTACCTCAGACATGTCTTTTCATCCGTGATCACGTCGCTGTTGCAGTTTTTTTGCTACATATTTGCTTTATTATATTGACTTTATTAACGGCTTCACAATGTTTTTCTACCCTACTGTGCTCAATCATCGGACTGGGCGATTTGCCACGATATGGTAAGTTTTCATTTCTTTATGAGTCATCAAATGTTTGACAACAGGTAGGCCTATATGTTCACTGTATAGCTAGACTTGTCGCATTAATCAATATATTGACGTATCTCTCAACATACGGACATGACCTCAATAATGTTTGGTAATGCAATATACACTCACCGGCCACTTTATTAGGTACGCCTGTCCAACTGCTCGTTAACGCAAATTTCTAATCAGGCAATCACACATGGCAGCAACTCAATGCATTTAGGCATGTAGGCATGGTCAAGCAGACGATCTGCTGCAGTTCAAACCGAGCATCAGATTAGGGAAGAAGGGTGATTTTAAGTGACTGTGAACGTGAGATGGTTATTGGTGTTTTAGAAACTGCTGATCTAGTTACTGGGATTATCACGCACAAGCATCTCTAGGGTTTACAGAGAATGGTCTGAAAAAGAGAAAATATCCAGTGAGCGGCAGTTCTGTGTGCGCAAATGCCTTGATGCCAGAGGTCAGAGGAGAATGGCCAGACTGGTTAACTCAAATAACCACTTGTTACAACCGAGGTATGCAGAAGAGCATCTCTGAATGCACAAGTCCAACCTTGAGGTGGATGGGCTACAGCAGCAGAAGACCACATCGGGTGCCACTCCTTTCAGCTAAGAACAAGAAACTGAGGCTATATATATATATATATATATATATATATATATATATATATATATATATATATATATATATATATATATATATATATATAATGTACATGTATTGTTATTGTCATATAATGGATGGGATAAAATGGTCTTCAAATGACAATATTATTGTTTATCGGTCGCAATATACTGTACAACAAAAATAGATATTAATAGTTTGTTAAAAGGTCATATAATTTTAATAAGTCTAACTTTATAATGGAGGCAACTCTATTAATAGCCTAACTAACCACATGATTTCAATACAATTTGTGCAGTATGGTATGATGATGATAAAAATATCACAGATTACTGCTCTAAAATAACTTATTTTTAAATGTCTGAGTAAAAAACAAGAACTTTTCCCCCATTGCACACAATTTATTTCATTTTAGGAAACGTTCATAATATTTTGAACAGTAAACATGTCAAGCTAAATAATTAAAATAAATCATTGACTACTGCTAACTTCATCAAGCACAGATTTCTTAACAAAACATAAAAAAAAAACTTTCACATAAACCTTAGGAAAGATATAACAGAACATTTTTGTGGTTTTAAAACCTTTACTTTTCCAAACCGCAGTAAACCTTGAAACCGGTTATCGTTCCATGCCTAGTCGAGTTACAACTGAACTTATGTTGTTTCTTTCAAATGCAGTTCCTGAATGTTAATAATAGATGTAAAAACTTTTGTGTTTAGGTTGGCTGCCACTAAAGGACGAAAGATAAGTCGGAGAGATCTACTCAAAGTCAATGTCCATAACACCTGGTTAGTGGCCCTTTCTATTCAATTAAGAATAAAGCATTTATGAAAGACTGGTCAGATGCATTATCACATTTCAAAATCAACAACATGCGTGGGTTTATTCGACACAGGCCTTAAAGCTAAAGAGTTTATATACCATGTCGTCGTAGTATTTTAAATATGTTCTGGAAATTTTCCCATTGTCTTCTTTCACCCACCCAATGTTCTTTAAACATTTCGGCTTGGCTGTTAGAATGTTCTTCCATTTTACTTTTTTAGCCTAATTACAAATGAAACATTAATATTATTTTATTTTCGATGGGTCTGAAACTAGTAACATTCAACTGAAACATTTTAGAAAAAGAGAAGAAAAAACAATGTAGTGGGGACACGGTCGCTCAGTGGTTAGCACTGTCAGTCACCTCACAGCAAGAAGGTCACTGGTTTGAGTCCCGGCTGGGTCTGTTGGCATTTCTGTGTGGAGTTTGCATGTTTTCCCCATGTTGACTTGGGTTTCCTCCGGGTGCCCAGGTTTCCCATGTCCAAAGACATTTGCTATAGGTGAATTGAATACACTTGCCCGTAGTGTATGAGTGTGAATGAGTGTGTATGGATGTTTCCTAGTACTAGGTTGCGGCTGAAAGGGCATCCACTGTGTAAAACATATGCTGGATAAGTTGGCGGTTCATTCCGCCGTGGCAATTCCTGATGAATAAAGGGACTAAGCTGAAGAAAAATGAATGAATAAATCAAATTATTTGACAAAAAGTCATGAAAAAAAAGATTTTTGTTACACAAACTAATTGTAGTCAGGATTTAACATTTTTTGGATATACAAAGTATAACATAATACCTTTAGTTAATTTGTCTCAAGTAAGTTAAGATCTGAAACATTTCAGATCATAGTATCATTTAATCTGTTTAACCCCAAATTGTCACAATTGTGTTTTACAGCAACGACATCATGGATTTCGTGTTGGTCAGAGTCCCGCCCCCTATGGCAGGATTGCCCCGCCCCCGTTTCTCCCTGTACCTCTCCTCTCAGCTGCAGTATGGAGTCGTGCTGGTCTTCCACAGACAGTGTGAATTTTTATTAGGTTGGTTTTGCTGTAAAATCAGGGTGAATGGTGTTTTTGAGGGTTAAAATATTTAATAATAAACTCATTTTATACATTATATTGATTAATGAGCAATATCACACTCGTAGCAGTGCGATAAGGCTGTATATAAGTACTGGTGGGAGTGCCTTAGCGTCCCAACAGTGCTGATATACAGCCATATCGCACTGCTACGAGTGTGATATTGCGTTTATACAACAGTTAAACGGCACAATCATGTATATAATTAAGAAAATCAAACACGGAGAGTCTAAAAACCCCTTTTTATTAGGAACTACTTTCTTCCGCATTCATTCACATCTGCAGCTGACGTCAAAACAGCAGAAGCCGTTATTAGTTCACCAACCTCACTATAGAGCTAGTGTTTGAATGACTCTCTGTAATTTACCCTGAAAAAAGCACCACAATCACTACCAGACTGCGTTAATCATCTTTGGTCTACTACACTATGGCAGGCAAATGGCCGCCGACGAGCTCTCTCAGAAATTGTAAATATTTTAAAATTGGCACTATTTCTACAAGTAAACTGCATAGTTGCAATCTAAACAACTACATTCTCGACTAAAAAAAGCTTCAAAAGTACATTTTGTTGTCAAACAGCAGTAATATTTGTCAAACTGTAGTGTCTCTCTGCTTGTTGCTGGCTGTATGTGGGCGGAGTAATACACAAAGGTGAAGGGTGAAGAGACCTTTGTGTAATGTTACTGGCAGAATATCACACGGCTATCAGCCAATCAGATTCAAGAACCAGACAGAACTGTTGTATAAATATTAATAAAACATTCAAAAGCATCACAGGCTCATTCTGAAGACATAGCCCTATATACATTTCTGGAGATTGCAAATTATGTAGCCAGAAGTATGTATGGCTGTATTTCGTCTTTAAAACGAACAATACGGGGCGGTAAGATGCCGTTCCGTTTCACACCATGGGCTGACTGCTTACCTCTGTTTGGACGGCTTTGCATGAAGGTCGACTGACTGGAGACACAGAGAGGAGTTGACCACGACAACGAGGTTCGAGTTCCAGAAAGCGGGCAAAAATAAAATAAACAAGGAAATAACGGTGAGAATGTGGTAAAATCAGAAAACGTAGTAAAATCAGTTAAGGGCTTTTCTTTTTCTGGATTGCTTTTTAAAACACTATCGATTGGGTTTTGGGAAGTGGGTGGGTCAATCAGTGCTTTTGAAAACACTATTGGTTGGGGTTAAGCCTCCTTTCCACTGCCTACGACATGCAATAGACCGGAAGTTATTCATTTGCAATGGAAAGTAGTCCGGGAGCTGCGTGGAGTTCCGATCATCTCCGTATGCAGAAAATTCGGATCAGAATTGAGCTGCGGATCCGCTGAAATATTTGAACTCCTTTGACTAGACCATAAGCGACCGGTCGACCGGATGTGATGTATTCCAGTGTTGTACAAGCAGGTTCATGCGCGCAAGATGTGAAATAGGAGTTTATTAGGTTATTTTTTTTAAGTTTTTCAGAAAAAGTCTGTATAAAAAAAAAATCTGTTCATAAATGTAAGTAATAAAGTAATACAAATTAAATTTTTTAATGTTTCCACATTCCCTCCAATATTTTTAGCAGTCTATGAGTTTATAGTATTCATTCACTTTTTCAACCACTGTGAAAGCAGAGAATAAAGGCTTTTGCTTTTGCACTCCTTTATTTCGGACACTGCGAGAACAGCTTCTCTCCCATGGTGCACGTCAGAACTGAAAATACTTTGCGACTGCCACAAGAGAGCGTATTCCGACAGTTGTGTCCAAATGTTGTGTGCAGTGGAAAGACAGCTTTAGGGAAGGAGGAGGGTGGGTCAGTCAGTCAGTAAGTCAGTTAGTCAGTCGACAGCATCCTCTGGTGGATTTACATGAGAAGAGCCAACGGGAATGGCACTCACAAGAGAAATTTGAGATCTCCAAAAACGTACACAGTCATCTCTGGTGGATTCGTGAAAACAAAAAAATTTAGCTCCTTGGATGTATTTGGCGCTCTCCAGATATGTAAATAACGGTACGTTTTCAGAATGAGCCTAGGTTGTTCAAAGGATACTGATTTAAACTGCCAAAAATACCAATACAACCTTAACCCAAATCGGGTAAAATATGGACTAACCCAAATATTCGGTTAAATTTTGTCAAATGTATTTAATAAAAAAATAAATAATCTAACAGTTGATTTAACCAGTATTACACTCAGAATAGGGCTGAAATAACCCAGCATTTATTTAGAGTGAATGTTTTTGTGTTGTTTTGACTGTTTTACTGCAATAGATTGTTAATGTTTCCTCAGAGGACACTCAGGGGGCGATTGACAAGCTGCTTCGTCTAAACCGAAAGGCTAACATTGATTTGATGGAGGAGGATACCAGGTCAGGTGTTATATTATCATTCATGCATGCTTCTTTATGAACATCTTTCACATTGTTAGGATTTAAACATATGCCGATATTCATTCATTCATTTCCTTCAGCTTAGTCCCCTATTTATCAGGGGGTCGCCACAGCGGAATGAACCGCTAACTATGAAAACACCCTTACACTCTCAAATTCACACACACACTCATACACTACGGCCAATTTTAGTTCATCCAATTCACCTACAGCGCATGTCTTTGGACCACCCGGAGAAAACTCACAGCAACACGGGGAGAACATGCAAACTCCACACAGAAATGCCTTCTGGCCCAGCTGAGGCTCGAACCAATAAGCTTCTTGCTGTGAGGCGACAGTGCTAACCACTGAGCCAACTGTAACACCAGTTCACCAGTATATTAACACCAGTATCCTTTTGAAAGGAACTAGCATAAATATTAATTCTTTTAACGTCATGATGTTTATGTATCCCACATTTGAAGTATTTTATTAGCATGTTGTGAACGGTTAAATTAAGCATGTGGTTAATAAAAAATCAAACAGTGTTACAGTTAAAAGCAAGCAAAATGCACAGTTTTGATATACAATATTAGGTTAGCGCAGTGTTTCTCAACCATGTTCCTGGAGGACCACCAGCTCTGCACATTTTCCATGTCTCCTTAACCAAACACACCTGATTCAGAGCATCGGCTCATTAGCAGAGATTGAAACACCTGTAATGAATGTGACAGACAAAGGAGACATCAGAACATGCAGTGCTGGTGGTCCTCTAGAAACGTGGTTGAGAAACACTGGGTTAGCGCAATTCAGAATATAATAAGTGACATTCAAAACTTAATTTACTCCTTCTTCTCAGGCAAAGTCACATGATCCCAGATGCTGTTGCCTTATTTGATGAGACCGAGGGTGCGAGAGATCCGTTCTTTGGGATCATGGAGTACGGACTGCCAAGTCCAAGCAGCTTAATACAGGTGCATGTTACTCAGAATTTCAAAGAAGCACTGACGTTTTTGTTTGTGCACTGCCCTTCAAAAGTTTGGGACGACTGAGTTAGTTAGTTAGTCATTTATTTAAAAGGCATACTTTAATAATTGAGGAAGCAGTAAACTGAAAACTTAAGATAACGATAATGTTTTGAAGTTATTAAAATTAAAATTTCAGTTTTATTTTAGATTTTTTGAATATTATTTCAAGAGTTCACACTTAGCTGATGATTGATAAAGCTTGTTTGGCATGCTGTCCCGGGAGAGAGCCCTGAGCTCATGAGATCCTTGCGCCCTGGGCTCCCTCCCATTTGCAGTGCGAGAGGGGAGTTTGAGCTCAGGTAGATCTCGATAGACTCCCCAACTTATTTCTGGCTAAATAGATTGGCTAAGAAGAGGGGGGGGGTTCTTCAAGACAAAGGTACTGAGATAAGAAAACTCTGGTTATTTATAGTGAGTTGGGAGTCATATGATTGGTGAATCAGTCGTGAGCTGATGCGGGACCAACTGTGAGCAATCATAAGCATGTGATCCTCTCGAAAATAGTTTATAAATAAACTTCACTTAATCGTCCTAAAAATGTATCTGTAGCTCATTTTCCTTCGGCTTAGTCTTGACTAGATAAGTCCCAACTTATCCAGCATATGTTTTGCACAGCGGATGCCTTTACAGCTGCAACCTAGTACTGGGAAACATCCATACACACTCATTCACTCACATACACTACGGCCAATTTAGTTTACCCAGTTCCTCTATAGTGCATTTCTTTGGACTGTGGGGGAAAGCGGAGCACCCGGAAGAAACCCATGCGAACACAGGGAGAACATGCAAACTCCACACTGAAATGCCAACTGGCCCAGCCAGGACTCAAACCAGCATCCTTCTTGCTGTGAGGTGACAGTTCTAACCACTGAGCCACCGTGTCACTAACCCGTATCTGTAGTTTTCTACAAATAAAGTATATTAAGCAGCACAGCTATTTTCAACATGTTTCTTGAGCAGCAAATCAGCATCTTGTCTGTCTTGTCTTGTCATTTGTCATCAGAGAAATAATTTTTAGGATATATTTAAATAACTGAGGCCTTAGCTAAAGAAAAAACAATCTTAATGACTCTTAATGACTAAACGTTTAAAGGTATTGTTGGTATTTCTACCTGTGATCTGTCATTATACACTTCTCAAAAAATAAAAGGAACACTAAATAACGCACTCTAGATCTGAATGAATGGAATATTCATATTAAATACTTTGTTCTTTACATAGTTGAATGTTCTGACAACAAAATCACTCAGAAAAAATCAATGGAAATCAGATTTATGAACTCATGGAGGTCTGGATTTGGAGTCACACTCAAAATTAGATATTACTAGATATTTTTAGATTTGACTAGATATTTTTCCAGACACTGGTATTCAGCTTAAAGTTACATTTAACTAGGTTAATTAGGTAAGCATTAGGCAAGTTATCGAATAACGATGGCTTGTTCTGTAGAAAATCAAAAAAAAGTTAGCTTAAGAGGCTAATAATATTGACCTAAAAATGGTTTTAAAAAAATTAAAAACTGCTTTTATTCTAGCTGAAATAAAACAAATAAGACTTTCTCCAGAAGAAAAAATATTATCAGAATCAGTTTTATTGCCAAGTGTGCTTCACAAACACAAGGAATTTGTTTTGGCTAAAGGAAATACTGTGAAAAATTCTTTGCTCTGTTGAACATCATTTTTGAAATATAAAAAAATTACAATTTTTACTTCAACTGTATTTAACAATGTTCTAGTGGTTTTTAGATTAGGTTTTACATATTGTGCCTTTGAACAAGAGTTTTGCTAGTCATATGTAGTCTAATCTCCTACACTGTGGTTTAGAGACGAGAAAAGGTTTTACTAGAGTCTGTCCCGCCTGCTAGAGAGCCATCGCCACCTTCAGATGGTGAGCACTTCATAATTCACACTAAAATATAAATAAAGAAATCAAGAGTTCAGATGCAAAAGCCCTCGAAATGCAAAGGGCTTAAAAAAAATTAAATTAGCACATTTTTTCAGCCTCCTATGTTTATGATCAGTTATTTCACTTTAAAGGCAATGAAAATAACAAATTCATTATCACAAAACTGAAGTAACTGGTCGCAAACACTGGATCCTGAAAAATTTAGCTTTTTCTTTGAAAAATACTCATTTTAGAAGATAATTTCATACAACACTCAGAGGCTTTTGTATCTGAACTCCTCAAATATAAAAATTGTACATATTTTAAAGCTTCTTCTTCTGTCTGCAGGCATCACGGCGAGCCAGGAGTCCATCACTCTGACAGAACCAGAGCCACTCATCATGCCTGAGCCACAGGTACATCCAACCCAGGCTCATTATTGAGACATACCCCTGTATAGTTTTCTGAAGAGTGTGGAATACGTCCCAGGAGATACATTTTTGAAGTTTTTGTTTCCACGAATCCACCTGAGGCTGCTGTGTACGCTTTCAGATCTCAAATTTCTTACACCAGTGCCATTCGCCCCTGCTGTTCTCGCGTAAATCCACTAGAGGCTGCTGTCAAATGACTGACTGACCGACTGATTCCACCACCCACCCACTTCCCTAAACCGAACCGATAGTGTTTTCAAAAGCAACGCAAAAAAAGAAGAGCCCCCTGATTTTTACCACGTTTTCAGATCTTTACATGTTCTCACCTTGTTATTTACTTATTTATTTAATTTTTAGCCTTTTGTCTTACCTTCTTCTTGGAACCATTCTTCGCCAGACTCGAACCCCTTTGTTGTGGTTAACTCCACGTCTCAAGACTGAAAATTTATACGCCTAGCCACTGAGCAATTTGGTAATAGCAGAAAAGCCGTGCACATGGAGGTAAGCAGTCAGCTAGTAAGCACGAAAAGAAACATCGTCATACCGCCCCGTAGCATTCATTTGAAAGAAGAAATGCACACATACGTACCTCTGGCTACATAATTCGCCCTCTCCAGAAATGTATACAGGGCTAAATGTTCACAATGACCCTGTTTTGGATACATCTGTCCATCCGTCCAATCTCCATCACTACTATTGGAAATCCAGTTATGCATCCAGATCTCTGTCTGTCCTGACTGTTTCAGTTTGAAGGAGCAGATCTGCAGGAGGCCAACATGATCGAACTACTGCTGGAGCAGCCGGATCACTTTCTTGAGCGTGAGTAATGTCGACGTGCTGGTTTCACTCAAACCCGTAATCAGGGGCTGCAATTATCCAGGATACAGATACAGCTTATACTCGCTCAAACCGCCCACACAACAAAATTTCATATCAAGAAAGTTTCGCTGATTTTTTTGTGAAAACTTTATTTCTGAATGTTCTCCTCTGTATGTTTTTAAGGGGACCTATTATGTAAAAATCACTTTTATAAGAGATTTAAGCACAGCTGTGTGGCAACAGTATGTGAATATAAACAGCTTCTTGTAGAAAAAATGTTTAAATCTATATTTTTATAAACACACTCGATAAAAACAGTCTGCAGAAACACTTCGATTGACATTTTCCCTTTCTACATGTCATCCGAGGCGGAAAGCCCCGCCCATCATTAGCATAGACAGACCCTGCCAATAGGGCTCATTCAGACCAAAGGAGTCTTTGCTTGCACAAAAACACCTGATGGGTTTTAAAAAGGTGCAGTGTAATGCGAGATCCACTTGATACGATATTATAAACAGGGCTTGGCATAAACTTTTTTGATCACCAGCCTCTGTGGCTAGTAGCTGTACAATGTTACTAGCCACTCAGCATTTTGACTAGCCACAATTTTGTTGTTGGGAAAATATATTTTATACGCATAAATTTGGCTTTTTATATGCTAAATTACTTGATATAGATTTTGTGTTCTGTCCACATGCCTCTTCATTCATTTAACTTTTTGTGCTGTGCATGAGCTTGCTCAGTGAACATGAGCAAATAGCTCATGGTTTCATAGTGTGACATTACAATTTGTTTTTATTTCACAAGACCTTTCAGGGATCAAAATGATGGATTTACCCAATTTATTTCTGACCGCACCAAAAATAAATAAATAGTTATTTCTTAGCCACAATATTTAAATGTGTCAAAACAAGCAAAATATAGCTGTATATTTTTTATTTAACTAAACATTTCTTTAAAAATAATGATTGACACTTAAAAAAATAAATATTGTAGTTAATCACCAGTTACTACCAAGCGGCAACCTCCCGCTCTCGCTCAGGAAGCCAATACGGAAGTAACTAAAACTGCAATTCATCTGAAATTCTGCTAGTCCGGGCCGCAATGGCTCCAAAATAGAGCAAATTTCAATTGAGCCCACTGTTAGAATGGCCAACTTTACAGCAGAAAAAAAGGTGTTTACAGCCTGGTACAAAAAAAGATTTTGGTTAATACAGGTAATATTACCCTTCATGACAACTGTGAGTTTTTATAACTCATCCGTTTACTTTATATTAAGTTATATTAAGTTTGCATAATTAAGGGCGTGGTCACTTGAGTGACAGCTAGGTCTCGTTGGTCGCCGTCACGTCACCTCAGCTGAATCCTGCAGATTAGCCACTGAACTCGGCTTATTTATCGTATTTCTGTGTTGTTTTATGTGGCTTTACACAGTCGACTGCCTTTTGGACTTGTTTCCTACAATTATTAGATGGCATGGCATGCTGAGTGCACTTAATTGTGCTCACAAACCATTCATGTGGCCTCCGTTTCCCATGTGAGTAAAGTTATATACTTATATACCATCTCTATACATGTATTTGTTTTATTTAAGATCATTTATCGTTTATATTTATATTTAGAGCTGTAATGCACTTCAGAATCTGTCAGATTGATTAGCTGTGGGCTCTAGAACAGTCATCTGAAGCGTTATCATACAGTGTTATGCTGGATTTCATCAATAGTCTTACATTAACTAACACAGACTGTATCTGAAGTGTTTGGAAGTAATTCGCGTTTTCCTCCTGTTGAAAAACGTCATAAGAACAATGTTTAGTGGCTCAATGTGTTACAGCAGTGTTTTTAAAAGTCTAAACACTTTATTGATATAGTGTACAACCAAGCACAAGTGGTCAGAATACAAACGAGTCACAGGTGATAAAGTATTAAGCGTTCTCCCAAAGTAAAGTGTGTCTGAACCAGGTCCAAGCTAAATGCCAGCAGGTGTCTGTAGCTCCGCCCACTCTCCGCCTCTTTGCCCATGTTTGGTATCCCGCCGTAGATGTGATGACGCGCGAACAAAATGGCGACGGTTGGCTGCGCCTACTTGTGGCTTCTTTTGCGCTCTTTAGAAACCTATGGGTGACGTCACGGATCCTACGTCCATATATTTTACAGTCTATGGTTACTACACATAAATGTGGGGTTAATTTCCCATTAAGTAAATGTTATTGTAACAAATGCTAATTAAACCATATTAACAAATATTACGGGCGAAGCAGTGGGCAGTAGGTACAGCAAGAAGGTCCCTGGGTCGCTGGTTCGAACCTCAGCTCAGCTGGTGTTTCTGTGTGGAGTTTGCATGTTCTCCCTGTGTAGATTTTAGCTGCGGAGGGTTAGACAGACACTTTCACTAGCCACTTTGGCTGGTTGAAAATCAGTTTTAAATTGTAGTTTCCTTAAAAGCAGGGTTCGACAATAAGGACGGCCCAATATGCGTACAAAGGCGGTCAAAAAGCAGCACGACTGACAAAAATAACTGTGTTCGAGAGAGCAAAAGTAAGCAGGTGAATGCCAAATGAGAGGATGATCAGCTGATGTGATGCACGCAACTATTTAACTGTCGCCACAGCAGAATGAATCGCCAACTTATTCAGCACATTTTTACACAGCGGATGCCCTTCAAGCCATCTCTGGGAAACATCCACACACATACTCATACACTACCGACAATTTAGCCTACCCAATTCACCTGTACCATATGTCTTTGGACTGTGGGGGAAACCGGAGCACCCAGAGGAAACCCACGCCAACATGGGGAGAACATTCAAACACCACACAGAAACGCCAACTGACCCACCCAAGGCTCAAACCAGCCACTTCTTGCTGTGAGGCGACAGTGCTAACCACTGAGGCATCGTGTCACCCCTATAAATTATTTAAAACATCATAAATTGTTTTAACCTTAATATATTTTATTAGCCCACGTCTAGATTTACTGTCGTCTAGAACCATCAATGCTAGGAAAAGCCCAGATATGGTGCTCAGCGGTTTCTGTCATGTTGTTTTATAAGACTCAGATTTGAGAAGGGAATGTGCTTTTGCAGGTGAAGATGAGAGACAGATGGAGATAGACAGAGACAGAGAGCGAACAGAGGAGGACAGAGAGCTGATGGTGTCTGAGGAAAGAGAGCTGGAGAGAGCGGCTCTGGAGAGAGAGACAGCCAGAGATCTGACAATATCAGCCTCTTTAGATCTGTATGTAGAGAGAATTACACAATCTCACATTTACACTTTAATTGGTGAACAAACGATTCAAAAAATGTCTCATGTTTGGAAAAAAAAAGAGCTTGAAGGATATTACGTTCCTGTGAAAATCCAAACCATAAACACATAATCCCTTTTGGTTTGTTAAGTTAGCATTTTTAACCAAATTTGAGTTGTGAACACCATTTCACAGATGTTGAAAATCTTATTAATCTTATTAATCTAAAATTAATCTTATTGAAAATATATGAAAAAAAATTATATATATATATATATACAGTTGAAGTCAGAATTATTAGCCCCCCTGTTTATTTTTCCCCGAATTTTTGTTAAACGGAGAGCAGATTTTTTCAACAAATATCTAAACACAATAGTTTTAATAACTCACCTCTAATAACTGATTTATTTTATCTTTGCCATGATGACAGTAAATAATATTTTACTAGATATTTTTCAAGACACTTCTATACAGCTTAAAGTGACATTTAAAGGCTTAACTAGGTTAATTAGGTTAACTAGGCAGGTTAGGGTAATTAGGCAAGTCATTGTATAATGATGGTTTGTTCTGTAGGCTATAGAGAAAAAAAATTGCTTAAAGGGGCTAATAATTTTGTCCCTAAAACGGTTCATAAAAAATTTAAAGCTGCTTTTATTCTAGCCGAAATAAAACAAATAAGACTTTCTCCAGAAGGAAAAATATTATCAGACATACTGTGAAAATTTCCTTGCTCTGTTCAACATAATTTAGGAAATATTTAAAAAAGAAAAACAATTAAAAGGGGGCTAATAAATTCTGACTTCAACTGTATATATATATATATATATATATATATATATATATATATATATATACAGTTGAAGTCAGAATTATTAGCCCCCCTGATTTATTAGCCCCCTGTTTATTTTTTTCACCAATTTCTCTTTAACGGTGAGATTTTTTCAACACATTTCTAAACACAATAGTTTTGAGAACTCATTTCTAAGAACTGATTTATTTGATCTTTGTCATGATAACAGTAAATAATATTTGACTAGATATTTTCAAGACACTTATATAGAGCTTAAAGTGACATTTAAAGGCTTAACTAGGTTAATTAGGTTTACTAGGCAGGTTAGGGTAATTGGGCAAGTATTATTGTATAATGGTTGTGTAGACTATGAAAAATGTAGACTATTGAAAAATATTAGCTTAAAGGGACTAATAATGTTGTCCTTAAAATGGTGTTTAAAAATTGAAAACTGCTTTTAATCTAGCCGAAATAAAACAAAAAACACTTTCTCCAGAAAAAAAATATTATCAGACGTACTGTAAAAATTGTCCTTGCCCTGTTAAACATATTTTGGGAAATATTAAAAAAAGAGAAAAAAAATCAAAGGGGGGCTAAAAATTCTGACTTCAACTGTACATATATATATATATATATATATATATATATATATATATATATTTATATATATACATACATTTTTCAACTAGACTTTAACAATTAGAAACTAACCCAGGCTATGTGTGTAACAGATATGTGCCCAGGGCTACATTTTTGCGAGCACAGAAATATGTTCCTTGTATGGGATAAAATTCCTGCCTAAATTTTTGCGGACAGATAAATAATGTGTGTAAATAAAAAAAATTGAAATTGTTTGTAAAATTATAACACGCAGAAGTGAAAACTAAACTAAGAAACAACGAGGTACCAAAAGATAATGAGCATAAATCAAAAATGAAAATGTGCTTGGCTAGAGGAGCAACTGTCAAACTCGACTAGTGGACCAATGATGATGATGCTGAAACCTGCCCGTGATTTAAATGAAAGTCAAATAGCATCTTTTGGAAATTCAACCACAGAATGTGGGAACAAGAGCGAAGAGGAAAAGACCGTGAGCACACAAAACATCCAAATATGAGCAGATCAACATTTTGTCTAATTGCGTTTTCATTTTTGATTCACACTCATTGGGCCTTCTCATACACCCGGCGCAATAAAGGGCAAGATGAGAATGGCGTGATTTGTTGCTATTTTCAGACCAGCGCAACAGTAATTTTCACGTTTTGCGCCTCATTGTTTAAATAGCAAGTCCATAGACTCATGAGTGTTCCAGTCTATAAAAGACGCTCATTGCGCATCTGCAATCCTTCCAACTGTTTACATACAATAGTATAGATGCCAATGAATCTTAAGTCATACACATCTAGAAGAAGAAGCCATCTGCATTGTAAGATGGATATTGATTACATTTCTGAGACCAACTATCCCTGTAACGTCATGATTTTTCAGTGCACAAATCACCGGTGCATCAAGTCAGGATGCTGTTCTGCTCCCCGAGGAGGATTTGGGGCTGCCCATGGAGATGCCTGTGATAGAAGAAAGAGAAAAGACCCCCGTATCCGCGCCTGTGCCCATACCATCACCTCCACCTGAAGAGGAAACAGGGGTTGAACCAAGGAGACAGCAGGCGGTGGGAGAAAGAAGCCCTCGTCTAGAGGTGTGTGACATTGGGAAACGTCTCTTTGGTGTACTGTATGTCAAATCAAATCAGATCAGATCAGATAAAAGCAGATCATATCAAATCAAATCAGCTCAGATCAAATCAGATCAGATCAAATTAGATAAAATCAGATCAAATCAAATTAGATCAGATCAGATCAAATTAGATCAAATCAGATCAAATTAGATCAGATCAGATCAGATAAAAGCAGATCAGATCAAATCAAATTAGATCAGATCAGATCAAATCAGATCAAATCAAATTAGATCAAATCAAATCATATCACATCAGCTCAGATCAAATCATATCAAATCAGATCAGATCAAATCAGATCAGATCAAATCAGCTCAGATCAGATCAAATCAGCTCAAATCAAATCAGGCCTTTATTTGTCACATACACTTTCGTATAGTGAAATTGAAGGGATGGGAACAGGGGATATGGATACAATCCGATGAGTGCGGGCAGCCAACTGGTCCTGCAGCCATGGAGGCGCCGATCCAATCCCGCCCACTCCCCTCATGGGTAAAAACACACAAAGCGTTTGGATGAGGGGATACTTTGTCAAGTATTCGAAGTACCTCTGATCTGCACCACAGTTTTTAATCAATGTGTGTGATCTGTGTTTGTGTCAGGCTGCTGTACTGAGCCCTGAACCAGAGGTGAAGAAGAGGAGGAGGAGGCAGCTGCTCTTCGTGGATGAATATACACAGATTTCTCAGGACGAAATGAGGGCCCGCATTAATGACGTGGAGACGATGACCAGGCCTCTGGTCAGTAGAGAACAATATGCACTCTTATCATGCCTTCGGGATATGTAAGGGATAATCAACGTTTTTCCGTGCGTTAAATGATTTTCATGCATGACGTGGAGACGAAGGACCACACGTCGCCCAGCGGATTTTGCATTACAAAATCAGCTGCAGCCTCATTCAGTGGTGTAGAGTAACACATTACAAATACTCAAACTACTCAAAAAAGAAGTTGTAATTTACCAAGTAGTTTTACATTTTTAAAAAAAATTTACATGTTCAGTATTTTGTGCTGTTTTGGTAATTTTACTTCAATACTTTCCTTCAACTTGCAGTCTCGACTTTATTTTTTCCTGTCTATGGGAATTGGAAAAATCAGTCCTGTGATTCCTGTCCAGTCAAATCACACCATAGAGTAAATCGCATCATGGTGAACTACCTCAAGACATGTGGCAAACCGTTTCGAAGCATTAAAAGTGATCAAGAAAATGTTTAAAATCTTTACACGCAATGACCCAGAGACTGTTTAGATGCATGTCACTGAAAATGGCCTAAAACTTCCAACAGGCGCGAGACGTCAACATGATGTCAGATTGATGTTGTACCCCAACATCATGGACGTTGCATTTTGTTTGGAAATGAAAATCAAGTTAATAGCCCCTTTCACACATACAGACCTTTCCGGAAAATTGCCAGCAATTTTCCGGAAAGGTTGTATGTGTGAACAGGTCCTTTTTGAAAATACCGGTAAATTCGTTCTGGCTATTTTCCGGAAAGAGAAGTTGTAACATTACCGGCAATTTGCCAGAATGCTGCGCTGTGTGAATGCAGAAGGAAGATTGCCGTAATAAGCGCGTGCACGTCTAGAACGTGCTAACGTGAGACGTCTGCTTAAGCCAATCACAACAGTCAGACGCATTTACGTCCGCGCGGTTTGTGAGGATAAAAGCCTTTGAATATTTTTCCAGACACATTTAGCTCCTAGAAGTTGTTCAGATCACGTTTATATGTTCTTCTTAATGCCAACTGTGTAAATAATCATCGATGAGATGCTTATGATAAGCCGTTGTTTGTTTACCTTCAAGCTTTGCGTGTGCCTGTGAAATAGCCTGTGAGCGCCTGCACACGCACATATTATGAACATCTCGACATGCGAAAGTGATCCTGCGAAAGTTGTTCACAATATTGATCATCCACAGAGTCTGTAATTTAGTCAAATGTTTACAAATACAAGCGCAGCCGTTTAAAGCTCATTTGTGGTGAATGATGTCAGAATTTACCGGTATTTTGGAATGGATGTGTGAATGCTCTTTTCCGGAAAATTTCCGTAACGTCCTCGCCTGTGTGAACAGCGCTTTTTTGAATATACCGGTAAAGACGTTCCGGAAATTTTCCGGATATTTACCGGTATCACTGTGTGAAAGGGGCTATTGTCAGAACTCAACGTCAGGCCGACGTCAGTGTATAACATCTAACCTAAAATCAACCAAATATTACCGTCTAATGTTGTTACAGCTTGACGTTGTGTGGATGTTACCAATCGTCTATTAGACGTAGAGGTTGCCATACCTGATGAATAAATGTCAGTATTTGACGTCAATATGACAATGGTTTAAGATGTTGGCTCGATTTTGGCCACTTTCTAACCTAAAATCAACCAAAAATCAACATCATTTGGCGTCACTATTGGACATCAAAATACTGTTGTCTTTAGACAATTTCTAGACTGAATTTTTGTCACCTGACGTCAAAACCTTAATCTAACCCAGTATTAACGTCTTTTGATGTTGTGTGCCTGCTGGGCAATAACTAAAGATCCACAAATTACAATAAATTATTATTTTCTCTTTCTTTTAACATTTACTTATGGCTGTAGTGTGATCAACGTTTGGGAAGCAACTCGTAACATTTTAATAATATTTTGGCAAATTGAACAAAATGAACTAAATGACTTGAAAGAAGATTTGTTCATCTCAATGAACGAGACTCCAAGGTCCGAGTCAGTAAAATGATCCGAACTTCCCAACACTGCAACAGACCATGGAGTAATGTGCATTAAAATAAAATGTAAATTGTGACTTTTTCCTCCTAGGAGTCCATCATCCCACCATCCATTCAGAAGAAGGATGCCAGAGAACTGCTCACAAACCCTTGCATGAGTAAGCCAGTCAATCTTCCAAATAAGTGTCCTATTTCACTATGAAATCGTAATACATCTATAATTTGTAAAGGGGGCACAAAACATACATAGACACTTGTTTTTTTTTATATTGTTTTTCATTAGTTTTGTCACAACAACAGTGCATAACATCAAACAAAAAACAAAGGCATAATAATGAAAAATTAATAAGTATGATTTTTAATCCTTTGAATTGTAAGGACATAGGTCATGTTCTCATAAACCACCTCAACATTTTAATACCAATGTCATTATACAGGATTTCAAAAGAGTAAGTTTGGTTGTTTTTTTTTAGCAAGGGCGCAATAAACCAACATAGGTTCACTCTGAAAATGTAGATGCCTTATATGTAATGCCTTATATAGACTTCTGGAGATAGCTAATTATGTAGCCAGGTTTACGATGCTAGGGAGCGGTACAACGCTTTTCTTTTTCACGCTTACCAAAGCCAGAAAATAAAGTAAACAAGTAAATAACAGGGTGAGGTGATGCAGTGGCGCTGTAAGTAGTGCTGTCGCCTCACTGCCAGAAGGTCGCTGGTTCGAACCTCGCCTCAGTTGGCGTTTCTGTGTGGATTTTGCATGTTTCCCCCACAGTCAAAAGACATGCAATTGGCTAGATAAGTTGGTGGTTCATTCCGCTGTGGCAACCCCTGATTAATAAAGGGACTAAGCCGACAAGAATGACAGGGTGAGAATGAGGTAAGATCTGAAAAACGTGGTAAAAACCAAGCAAGGGCTTTTCTTTTTCTGGATTGCTTTTGAAAACACTATCGGTTGGGTTTAGGGAAGGAGAAGGGTGGGTCAGTGTATTTGGTCAGTCATTCAGAAAATATACCTTAGCTTAATCTTAATAAAAGCTTAATCTTAAGAAAATACCAAGGATTCCTCAAAAGTTCCTCGGATCCCATTAGTGGGATAAAATCTTATGATGACCACAAATATAATCACTCTCATCCTCACCACCATCCAACCGATTTCTATGGTGAAAAAAAAATTATGAACGTTTCTAAAAAAGGTGGCACAGTGTGTAGCACAATCCCCTCACAGCAAGAAGGTCGCTGGTTTGAGCCCCAGCTGGGGCAGTTTTGACATTTTGTGGAGTTTGCATGTTCTCCCCATGGTGGGTTTCCTCCAGGTGCTCTAGTTTCCCACAAATGCGCTATAGGTGAATTGAATAAGCTAAATTGGCTGTAGTGTATGTGTGTGAATGGGAGTGGCTGGAAGGGCATCCGCTGTGTAAAACATATGCTGGATAAGTTGGCTGTTCATTCGATTGTGGTGACCCCTGATTAAGGGACCAAGCTGAAAAGAAAATGCCCTTCCAGCTGCAACCCATCACTGGGAAACATCCATACACACTCATTCACACTACGGACAATTTAACCTACCCAATTCATCTATAGCGCATGTCTTTGGACTGTGGGGGAAACCGGAGCTCCCTGGGGAAACCCACGCAAACACAGGGAGAACATGCAAACTCCACACAGAAATGCCAACTGACCCAGCCAAGGCTTGAGCCAGTGAACTTCTTGCTGTGAGGGGATCATGCTTGAATGAATGAATGCTTCTAAAAACAAATACTACTATTCATTGTACAACTTTAAAATAGTTTTCTATTTTCTAGTCCTTATACAACATATTTATTAGCTCTTTTTTAATCGAATTATCCTTTTGTCTTTGTATTTTCATATATAAAAATTATTTAGATTTTTTTGTCATGTATTTATTTGAATTGCGCTAAATCATTTTTTGTATTATTGTCTAATGATTCGAATAATTTAATCCCGCTATTAGCATTTTTTGGCTTTTATAGCAACATGTTCATTCATTTTAATAAAGCTTTTATTGTAATGTTTTTATTTATCAGTTAAATTATTTGTTATAAAATTAGTTTGTTTTAAATCTCTACCAACATTTCTCACAAACCATTTCCTGATACAATTTTGCCATGTCTGGACACAACCTTTTGAAATTAATTGCAAAAATTAATTCTAATAAACACATTTTATTATCCATGTTATATATAGCCCAGATGTGACCTATTTAGATAATTCTAGCCATTATTCACTGATGCAGCATCCTGCACTTCATCTATTGATGCAGTCCGGAGCTCAAACAAAAGGTCACTTTATTGACGGTGTGTGTGTTGTGTTGTGTTGATGCAGGTCTTCCTCCTGAAATCCTGACTCTATGGAAACAGGCGGCCGTGGTGAAGCCTATCCCTCCATCCGAGCAGCGCTGGGAGATTCCTGAGGCTGAAGAAACACTAGAGCGAGAGGAGGAGGAATGCCCACAACCACCAGAGCCAGAAGTGGACCAAGAGATCAGCTCAACAGAGGTCAGCACACATAACATGCATTATGTGTATGCATTATTTATGCATTACACCACTAAAAAGGGGTTTGTTTCCCCCCAAAATTGTAAGCGTAAAGAGTATTGCACACTAATTCTGAAATTTTTGTCCGTGAGTTTTGCACATTAAAAAATAAATTCAACCTCACTTTGTGTCAGTCATATTGACATACTGCCTCAGAAACTTTCCATCATAAAAAATCATTTAAATCGAGTTCAATTTCTTCCGTTTTTCACATTCAAAAAAAGGTAGTGTGGTGACAGTTCAGAGCCACCATACATTTGACCATACTTGACCAGCACAGATCACTTTATGCAACCCAAGCTCATTCTGAAAACGTAGTCCCGCGGACGATTCTGGAGACAGCGGAATACGTCCCGGGGGGTACGTACGGCTGCGTTAATTTTTTTCAAGCTAACGCTGCGGGGCGGTGTGATGCTGTTCCCTTTCGCGCTTGCCTTACCTCCTTGTGGAAGGCTTCCCCGCTGCAACCTGTTTGTCCACTCAGCTCACCGTGTACGTCGGCAGGCTCGAGATGCAGAGAGGAGTTGACCACGGCGACCGGTTTCGAGTCCGGGGAAGAGCGGTTCCAGCAAACAGGTAAGACAAAAACAGAATCCCAAAGATTAAGTGAACGAGTTTCATAACAGGGTGAGAACACGGTGGAAAAAAATAAATAAATCAGGGCTTTTATTTTTTTTTATGGCTTTTGTAAACTGTTGCTCGGGTTTAGGGAAGCGAGTGGGCGGGCGGGTCGATCGGTAAAATTGGTTGGGTTCAGGGAAGGAGGAGGGCGGGTCAGCCGATTGGCCGGTCGCGCAGTCAATCATCCGGTCAGTCGGACAGCGGCCTCTGGTGGGTTCACGCGAGAACAGCGCGGGCGCGAACCGCACTCACGAGAGGCGTCTGAGGTGCGAAAAAGTGCACAACAGCGGCCTCTCGTGGATTCGCAAAAACAAAAACTGCAGCCGTATGTACCCGCCGGGACGTATTCCACGGTCTCTAGAAACATTTCCACAATGAGCCTGGGTTGACTTTATGATAAACACAGTGCATAAATAATATAAAGACATGATTTTTGAAAATATGAATGTGAAAAAAATATATATGTAAAAGATCTTAAGAAGATCGCTAAAATTATTCATTATTGTGCAACTCATCTTAGCACTGCTTTAATTCAACTAAATTGTTCTCTGATATCTGCATAGTGGCTTAGGTAAGTCGTATGTAGCTTGGTCCCTTTATTTATCAGAGGTCACCACAGCGGAATGAACCGCTAACTTATCTAGCATATGTTTTACACAGCGGATGCCCTTCCAGCTGCAACCCAGTACTGGAAAACACCCATACACTCTCATTTAGCTTTCCCAATTCACCTATACCACCTGTCTTTCGACTGTGGGGGAAACCGGAGCATTGGGGAGAACATGCAAACACCACACAGAAATGTCAACCAAATGACCCAACCAAACCTCGAACCAGTAACCTTCTTGCTGTGATGCGACAGCACTACCTACTGCGCCACCGCACTGCCCTGTGAAACTTTTGTCCATCAAAAAAAATGTAATCAGGTTTGATTTTTTTATCTGTTTTTCACATCCAAAAAGGTGTTGAGAGGTGTTTTGACAGTTCAGAGCCACCGTACTTTTGACCATAATTGACGAGCACACATCCCTTTATGACAAAGTGCATAAATTAATATAAAGACAGATTGTGACGAACATAAAAATACGAAATACGGAAAAAAACACGCGTGAAAGACCTTAAGAAGATGGTTCAAATTATTCATTATTGTGCAACTCAACTTAGCTCATTTATTACCCCATAATATACCCCTTAAATCAGAAGGTCCTTATTGACCTCATTTGGAATGGTCGTGAATGTTAATTTGATCTTCTCTGATGCAGTATCTTTCTCTCTCTTAAGGCTGATTTATACTTCTGCGTCGAGTGGTCAACGTGACCCATGTTGCCTGCCTTGCGTGTTGTCATGCATTTATACTTCTGCGCGCTTTTTGTGTTGCTCTGCAATAACACTAGCGAAACGCTAGCTGGCTGAAGGTTTTTATGTTCCTCTGTGTCAAGTTTTTTCGCTGGTGTTTTTTTTGAACGCTTCCTTAATGTACAAGTAGCTAAAACTCGCTCATTCAGAGGTGGGAGCCAGCAGACGTGCAACAACTTTAATCATAAGGTAAACACAAAACAAAAAAGGTTCCATCTGGAGCTCCTTCTCAGGGCTCGACGCGTAAACCCTCGCTCCATCGGGCTCGCGCCTCTCAGCACTGCCCACACTTGTCACCGCTACCAAGTCGACCAATCGCTACCAAGTCGAGCTTGTGCTTTACATCGTTGCGACGTGTAGTTAAATTTGTTGAGAGTTGTGCGCGTCATCGTCGGTTTTAGCCACAGAGAGGGCTATGCGACGTGCGAAGGCTGCGCCAGACCATACGCATACGCTTGATGCAGAAGTATAAATCAGCCTTTACACACACACATGTGCGCCCACAAAATTCATGTACACCAACCTGTTTCGGGGACTACAGGTTGAGATTAGCATTCTGCTACAACCTTTACACCATGCATCTTGTCTATGATTTAATATAGGTTATGTATTGTTGTGCATTGTCCTTGTATATGACATAAACTAAACTAAAACTAAACTAAATCTGGAGATTTAACATGAATATAAAAATCACAATTTAACAGATAACACAACTTTTCTTTGTTTGTTGTTGTTGTTGGAAAAGCGGGAGAAATAAAGAAACTTTTAACAACAGGGTATCCGCAGAGTCTTAAAAAGTCCTAAATCTCAAAAGCTACATTTTAGCCCTTAAATTTACTGAAATATTGTGCCGTAAGTCTTAATTTTTTTAGCAGGTCTTAATATTTCTTTGTTCATGTATTGCTACCCAATCTGGCCATTAACACTTATAGAATCTCCAACAATCCCAATCTCAATAAAACTCAATAAAAATGTTTAACTCTATTAACCATAATGTTTTTAATTACTTTCCTCACAGTAACATTTGTCTAAAAGTTCTCCATTTATTAACTGCTGAGGAAACTGACCTGACCTTTATTTTTATTATTACATTATTATTATTGTATTATTAAATGTATTTAATTTAAATCAAAATCCTTAACCCCTAGTTGTATATGTCTACAATTTCATTCATAATGGTCTTAAAAAGGTCTTAAAAAGTCTTAAATTTAACTTGGTGAAACCTGCAGAAACCCTGAACAAGTTTTTGAAGGCTCTTTGAGAAATTTGGTGTCACGAAATGCACATTTTGAGAAAAATGATTGATCTGTTCTAACCAAATTATTATGTAAATATTCTTACCTAAAACGAAGATAACCAGTTCTGACTGTTTTAGTGGTTGATCATTTGTCCTGCATCCTTCACTACTGTAGATTCCTAGAGAAATGGCGGAGCCTGAACTCTTCCAGCAAGAAACCCCAGGTACAATATTCTCTCAAACAAAATGCAGCAGGTAAAATAATTATTCAGCATGTCACTGTTTTTCTCAGAAAACATATTCTAAAAATGATGTTGACTTGAAATCCTCACCAGATGTCGGTAACAGCTAAAGTAATCCGTACACACAAAGAAAACAAAACAAATTAGTTTAGAAATGAAGTTATGTTTAGTAAAATGAAATGACACAGAGACAAAGAATCGAACACATGAAGGGAGTAAAAATGCATGGAAAGCCCAGACAGCAGCTGGAATCTCTAGTTATTCATCACCCCTGCCCTTCATCACTGTAAATGAATATTATCTGCTTCAGTCCAATACATACATTACCAGATGATGGAGATGAAACCAGGGTGGACATTTCAGCAAGACAGTGAGGCCAAATGGTTTCAGAAAAGAAAATAAAGCTGCTAGAATGGCCTAGCCAATGACCTGATCTGAACCCAATAGAAAATAAGAACTAAAGATGAGAGTTTATAGACGAGACCAACAGAAACAGAATGATTTTTACACTGTTGAACTTTAGGGGAGAAAAAAACACACCTCAGCAATAAACTCCATTTTCCATACAAGAGGCGTCTTGAAGCTCTTATTACCATAAAATGCCTTTATACAAAATATTAAATACATTTCAGTAGTCCAGTACCTTCTCTTTGTGCCACTCCATTGTTATTACACATACTTTAATTTCTGGAAAAAAATGTTTAGGGTTATTTGTATGTTTTGATGTGTGTTTTGTTTGGGTTTGTACTGAAATTTGGTCCAAAGGGTGTAAAAAGGCATGGAAAGCCCAGACAGGAGTTGAAATCTCTCAGTAGTTATTCAGCAGCCCTGCCCCTCATTAGTGTAAATGAATATCATCTGCTTCAGTTCAACATCAACATTAGCAGATGAGGGAGATGATATTTCAACAAGACAATGAGTCCAAACACAGAGAGGGAAACTCTTGATTGGTTTCAGAAAAGAAAATAAAGCTGTTAGAATGGCCTAGCCAATGACCTGACCTGAACCCAATAGAAAATAAGAACTAAAGATGAGAGTTTATAGACGAGACAAACAAAAACGTCAAGGTTTTTAGAATCTGTTGATCTCTGGGGGATAATGAAAATGCACCTGAGCAATAAATGTAACTCCATTCGCCATACAAGAGAAATCTTAAAGCTTTTACTACCTAAAAAAACCCACACATTTTATACAATGTATTAAGTACATTTCAGTAGTCCAGTACCATGTCCTCGTGTCACTCCATTGAAATTACACATACTTTAACTTCTGAAAGAAATGTTTGTGTGTTTTTATGTATGTTTTATTTGGGTTTTTACCGAAATCTAGTCCAAAAGGAAAGGCATTGAAAGCCCAGACAGCAGCTGAAATCTCTCAGTAGTTATTCAGCAGCCCTGCCCCGCATTAGTGTAAATGAATATCATCTGCTTCAGTTCAACATCAACATTAGCAGATGAGGGAGATGATATTTCAACAAGACAATGAGTCCAAACACAGCCAAGGAAACTCTTAATTAGTTTCAGAAAAGAAAATAAAGCTGCTGGAATGGCCTAGCCAATGACCTGACCTGAACCCAATAGAAAATAAGAACTAAAGATGGGAGTTTATAGATGAGACAAACAGAAGCAGCAAGATTTTATACTTTGTTTAACTCTGTTGGATAAAAACACACCTGAGATATAAATGCAACTTAGTTCACCATACAAGAGGCGTCTTGAAGATGTTTGTGATTTTACACAAAGTATTAAATACATTTCAGTAGTCCAGTACCTTGTCCTTGTGCCACTCTATAGATATTATACATACTTTAATATCTGAAAGAAATGTTTGGGTTTATTAGTATGTTTTGATGTAGGTTTTGTTTGGGTTTTTACCGAAATCTGGTTCAATTTCATGTCAACGGCTCCAGGAAAATTCGTGAAAATGAGAAAAACACTTATTTTACCCGCTGTATTTTGACTTTTGTGATTTGTGATTGTGTTTTGAATGGAAAAAAAGAAAATATGGTTAGCTCCCACATTTGCATACCAATTGTAAGCGGATGTTGTATTGAATTTGCAGCCTCCTTAGTGGAATTGGAGACGACAGACAGGGATGTTTCTCCATCTGTGACGCCTGAAATGAGACGGTAAGAGGACAGATGGGAAAACAGAGATGGAAGTAGCTGTTGCTGTCAGAAGCGACTGGTTTGACACGTGCAACATTCACATTCAGCCGCCGCATAATTAAGTAACTCTGAATAATTATTCCTGCAATATGTCTGCGATTTCACGCCCTTAGATCTCCTGTTCCAGAAATTCAGTTCGGTCTGGAGGATATACCAGAGGAAAGGGTGCCGGAGATGGAAGATATTACAATGGATGTAGAAGAGTTAAGGTACAGCTAAAATGACGGCTAACTTGTAATATTAGTTATGTTATATTAATATTAGTTAAGTTATTAGTAGCATTAGTTAAGTTTTTGGGTTTCTCCAACTTTCTAAACTTTAAGAGTTTAAATACTCTGGACAAATCAAATGGATGAAAATTCAGTTTACTAGAAAACTTTGTATAGGTACTTTATGCATATTTTTGGACATTAAGATTTATTCTGTTTATTTTTTATTGTCAAAATATAACTTTCATACATATTTTGTCATTCAGCATAACACTATTAACTCATTGACTCATCCTTCACTTGTTTAAAACTAGTTTGAGTTTATGGTAACTCTTTACAATAGGGTTCATTAGTTAATGCATTTACTAACATGAACTAATCATGAACAACACATGTACAGCATTTATTAATCATAATTGAACATTTACTAATGCATTATTAGCATCCAAGTCCATGCTTGTTAACATTAGTTAATGCACCATGAGTTAACATGAACTAACAAAGAACTACTGTATTTTCATTAACTAACGTTAACTAGCATGAACAAATACTGTAGTAAATGTATTGTTCATTGTTTGTTCATGTTAGTAAATGCATTAGTTAACTTTAACTAATGAACCTTACTGTAAAGTGTGACCGAGTTTCTTTCTGCTGTTGAACACAAAAGAAGATATTTTGAAGAATGCTAGTTTGCTGGGACCCAGCTACTTTTCTAGTTGGAAAAAAAAATACTATGGAAGTCAAAGGGTGCAAGCTACCAGCATTTGTAAAAAAAAAAAAATCTTATTAAAGAATATAAGAAGAATCTCAAATAGGTTTTGGACAAGGGAAGACATTTCTTGGATAAATGATGACATAATATTAATTTTTGGGTGAACAATCCTTTTAAAACCCTAGAGAATCTATTGCCTAAGGCCCCATTTACACTAGTGCGTTTTAGTTTTAAAACGGGATTTTAGAATGCAAACGATCCGCGTTTACACTTGCGTTACTGAACAACTCTCCGTCTACACCACACTACTGAAAACGCACATCACGTGACCACACACACACACACTCTGGCATGCGCTGCAGCATATCTACCCAGATGAGAGCTGTGCTCGTCGGACTGTGCATCCAGGATCTACCACTGGATCTAATCTCACTATATTTGTTAAACAACATATTAACTCATCTTTATGTCTATATCTCATGACATATTCTCCGACTTTGGTCTTTTGAATCTATTACTTGTTCTCAGGTAGCGTGTTTTGGCTAAACGCAAAGATAAGTTAATAATTAACGTAACCATGTACATACTGTATATTGACTGATCGCTTGCCTTTATTTCCTATAATGTATAAACTTATTGTACGTTATACTTTTATAATGGCCATTATTGATTATAAAAACTGATATTCAGCAGAAGAGAGGCTATGTTTCGTATTTTCACTGAAAATGAAAGGAGGCAGTGATGTTATAGGCTCCGTTTTGTTATAAATATGCATACAGTGAAGATGATGCTCATACATGCAGCACGAAGCATCCACATTTCTGCTGTGTGTTAAGTTGCTAATATCAAAATGAAAATAGCAGTTTTCATTGCATTGTTAAGATAATGAAACAACATATCCAGGATGATGTGAATGAGATAAAGTACACTGTTCCCTTTGAAGATTTACCCGACATGTCCCCGGGAGTCTGCTTTCCATATCAATCTTGCATAGTCTGAATTTACAAGGAGAGGATGCAGGACTGAACTGTGTAGGCTACTTAATATTGAGGAAAAGCCCCAATTGGAGAGGCGAATGTCTGCAGCCCCGCCTCCGTTTTCAGATAACTCCGTTTTCCCCCATCCACACTGAGACAGAGCAGCGTTTCAACCTTTCCAAAACGCTCTGATTTCGGCGCTCGAAAACTCGGGTGTAGTGTGGACGAATGCAGTAACCGTAGCAAAACGTATGCATTTTCAAACTAAAACGTATTAGTGTAAACAGGGCCTAAAAGTAAACTGCAGTTCTGAATAAACTGTGGCCATTTTTATAGTTTTATTCCACCATTTTAATATGTTAATGGAAAAAATTTGATTACAATATCGACTTGGATATTAATTGTGCACACACTACACACTACACAGATTTCTGATGTACTTCCATGCTCTGTTGAAGGCCCGAGGATGTACATGGAGATTTGGCGACCTTTGAGTCTCTGCTGCCCCCTCAGGCCAGCCGGAGAATTGTGGCCCAAATGTTTTGGAGGTTGCTTGGTAAGATTTTGGAGACAGATTTTCAAACACAGTTCAGTACTAAAAGCAGGTGACAAACAACAAACAAAAAACATCATTTTAATCACGAAATAAACAATGAAATGAAGACCATAGCCGTTTTTTAATGGAGTGGAGGAACAACATCAACTGCCATCCAAATGTTGCAGCAGAAATTGAGACTCATCAGACAAGGCAACGTTTTTACAATCTTCTATTGTAGAATTTTGGTGAGCCTGTGTGAATTGTAGCCTCAGTTTCCTGTTCTTAGCTGACAGGAGTGGCACCCGGTGTGGTCTTCTGCTGCTGTAGCTCATCTGCCTCAAGGTTGGATGTGTTGTTTGTTCAGAGATGCCCTTCTGCAGACCTCGGTTGTAACAAGTGGTTATTTGAGTTACTGTTGCCTTTCTATCAGCTCGATTCTGGGCCTTCTCCTCTGACCTCTGGCATCAACAAGGCATTTGCGCCCACAGAACTGCCGCTCACTGGATATTTTCTCTTATTCAGACAATTCTCTGTAAAACCTAGAGATGGTTGTGCATGAAAATCCCACTAGATCAGCAGTTTCGGAAAAACTCCTATACAATAGAAAATACAACGTTCAAATTCACTTAAATCCACTTTGTTCCCCATTCTGATGCTCGCTTTGAACTGCAGCAGACCGTTTTGACCATGGCTGCATCCAAAACTGCATACTTCCATATTATTCACCTTATTCTCCGCCGATGAGTGGGCACTGCCATTTGAATCTTTTTGGCTTGAGACTTCCGGTCTCATTCACTTCCATTCATTTTTTTGAGGTTAAAAACTGCTCATTACGCTGCTTGATGTTGCAATTTGATATTTTATTATTATATTATTCTACTTGGTCTGTATAGTCATGCAAACATTTGTTTGTTGAGCAAGTAGTTTGTCTGTTTTCTGCCATTTATTATTCCTAGTCATTTCTCCCATAGGCGAATGAAACGGAAGTTCTAAGACAATCGCGAAAACAGGCGCACTTCCGCATTTTAGAATAAGGTCAATACAGTATGCTAAAATCAGTATGCTAGCCGAGTAGTATGTCCAAATTCATAGAATTCTAAAATCAGTATGCGAGAAATACCCGGATGACTTACTACTTCCGGTGAGATTCTGAAGTGCACATTCCATGCACGCTGCGCTATCCCATGATGCCCCGAGAGGGAATTCATAAATAGGACTGAAACGACGCAACTGACGCAGGTAGGTTGACAAAATGGCGGATGTAGTACATCCGAATTCCATCCATACTTTTCACATTCATACTGCACAGAACGTACTTTTCTAACGGCAGAGTAGTACGTTTAAAATCAAATGCAGTACTGAGTAGTAGGCGGTTTCGGACGCAGCCCATGTCTACATGCTTAAATGCATTGACTTGGTGCCATGTGATTGGCTGATTAGTAATTGGCGTCAACGAGCAGTTGCACAGCTGTACCTAATAAAGTGGCTAGTAAGTGCAAGGAGTATGAGTTCCTGATCAGCACGATGTTGTTTAATGTCTCCGATAATGCCTAGAATCCCATTTATCACCTTGTTAGCAACCATATTTCTTAAAAACTCATCAGAGGGGTGTAAGTGCTGTGTTTTAAGCTGTTGAATTACACGTGAATGTATTTTGAGTTTTTACAGACCTTATTAAAGTGCTTCAAACAAAATCCCAATCAAAAAACCCATTGACTCTGAGACGATGGAACCAGCAGTGCTAAAACGCTAACTCGATTCTTGGTTTTTGCATACAGTTTGACAACATGGTTCCTCCGCTCTAACATTTGACTTTTTCTTAGAGATTTTAAAACTTCTATAAAAAATCGAAAGGCAAATCAAGGTTCCCAAACTGGCATCTCAAGGATTTAAGAAGCTGTTGACCATTAAATATGTTATCACTGACTTGCCTGCTGAAAGTTTTTTAAGGGAGAACAAGGTGACACTTATCAGGTAGAGTTGATAGAATCCCACTGCTGTCTCTGTTTCTTCACATGACACCTCACCTGCTGGATGACAATACTAGTGTGAGCTTCAACACCAGAAATAACTAAATCATTGCGATCGCAGTACTTAATTTAGAGAGAAGTGCCATCTTCTGGAAACTGAATCTGTTTTGTTTTGTGCTTTCAGAGGAAACGGTTGCGGGGCAGGTGACAGTGCGACAGGACGAGCCGTACGGTGACATCATCATTGCACAGCTATAGAGAGGCTGAAAACGGCTGATGACTTTCTGCTGTTCTCAGCCAAACTGGTATGTGGATGCAGATTCATGTGCGTTATTATATCAGTGTTCGGGTTTATAAATTTTTAGGGTTTATGACTTTAGTAATGCGTATGGTTTAATAGATTTTGTTTTTGCTGACTTAATAGTGTCATGTTTTATGACCTATGACGAGTTTTGTCTTTTAAAAGAATCGAACAAAAGGGCATTTTCTGCAATGTTTTCTATACATAAATTCATTTAAATTGTTTATGATTTTTAGGAATTTTAAGGGGTTTATGGGTTTATTTTTTAGGGTTTATGTTATGATCTATGAAGAGTTTTGTATTTTAAAATAATCAAATTAACATCATTTTCTGCAAAGTTTTCAATATTGAGGTAATTATATTTTTTAGCACATTATTTCAGTTTTTATCAGTATAATAAATGTTGTTCAGTGTGTTATTTTATATAATGTATATATTTTACATGAATTAATGCTTTTTTTATCATTTTTATGAATTTGAAGGGTTTATGACTTTAGAAATGCGTAACTTTATTGATGGTTTTATAGATTTTGTTTTTGGGGACTTAATATTGTGATGTTTTATGATCTATAAGAGTTTTGTATGTTAAAAGAATCAAATTAACATAATTTCTGCAATGTTTTATATATTGAGGTAATGATATTTTTTATTAAACTACTCCAGTTTTTTCAGTATAATAAATGTTGTTCAATGCGTTATTTTACACAATGTATATATTCTACATTCTAGCAGCTTCCAGATGTGTGTGTGTGTGTGTGTGTGTGTGTGCGTGCGTGCATGCGTGCGTGTGTGTGTGATCAATGGAGAACCAGAACAGGTGTGTGTGTGTGGTGCCTAATGGGAGTTGTAGTTCATATAGTGGCAGAATTGTGGTCTGAGTGAAAGTGAATGCTCTCCAGTGGTGATCGCGACACCTACAAAGGTTTTTTATATTGAGGTAATGATATTTTAATTAAACTATTCCAGTTTTTTCAGTATAATAAATGTTGTTCAATGCGTTATTTTACACAATGTACAGATTCTACATGAATTAATTCTTCTTTTTATCATTTGTGTGAATGTTTAGGGTTTATGACTTTAGTAATGCGTAATGTTATTGATGGTTTAATAGATTTTGTTATTGCTGATTTGAGGTATTTTTTGATGTATGAAGAGTTTTGTCTTTTAAAAGAATCAAATTAACATCATTTTCTGCAATGTTTTATTTATTGAGGTAATGATATTCTGTTATTAAACTATTCCAGTTTCTATAAGTTTTAGGGGTTTTCACCTTGATTGTGATAGGACAGTGGCAATTTATGGATTGGAAAGTGTGGGGATCAGAGATAGGGGAAGGATTGGCAAAGACCTCGAGCCAGGAATCGAACTCGGGTCGTCGTGAGCGTCGCGGTGCTATGCGTCGACGCACTAACCACTAGGCTAATATATACAATGTATGTATTTTACATAAATTAATTATGTAATGCGTAACGTTATTGATAGTTTAAAAGATTTTATTATTTCTAATTTAATATTGTGATAATTTATGATCTATGAGTTTTGTCTTTTTCAAAAAATCTAATTAACAAAAAGTCATTTCCTGCTGTTATGAAGTGGATATTAACAAGGCCAAGGCAACCCGGTGTGCTGAAAAATAGTTGGCTAAACCGGCCGGGTTAAAGGGTTTAAAACAAAGACAGACGTTCTGGCACGGAAAGCACATTTTCAAAGCAAACTTCAGCATTGTTTTTCAGATAAACAAGAAGGTTTGTTTAGCATGTTTCTGAAATATCTGCAAACATATTATGGAACTTTTATGCTTTAATAGAGACAAAAACTTTAAAATATTATGTTTTCGTAAACAAAAAAAAGTGAAACATCTCCTTTTATCATGCTATTGAGCTTGTGTAAATTCAGTAAAATAGAAGACTTTACATACACAAATGTTTTTCTTCTTTTATTACAAACTTTTATCTTTACAGCTTTGTCTCAACAACACAACTGTGCAATATATATTTATCGGCTTATTTCCGTAAATAAGTTTTGGCACAACGTACAGTAGGCACTAGGTTTACCACAAATACCAGCGCAGACAGAAGTGAATATGCTAAAACACATTTCAAGACACGCGTCATACTCTTCATAAGCCATCTGGACAGTCAAACGTTGTCATTGATATCAAAATCACAATTCAGCTCAACTGCAAATTTGTACTCTAACTAAAACACCATGACATAAAAATTGAAACAAGCTGGAAAATCTATTTTGCGCAATGTAATTTCAAAAGACCAGAGATCATTTTCTAAACCACGAGCTGAAATTTATTGTGGAAGAAAGGCTTTACATTGCAAAAAAATACTTAGAGTTTTTCTAGTCGTTTCTAGTCTAAACATTTTAAAATTCAAGAAACTTTTTCTAGACAAGGAAAAAAAATGTTTTGTTTTCATACAAAAAAGTCAAAATTAAGTGAGTTTTTCCTGAAAACAAGCTAAATATTCTGCCAATCGCCTAAATAAAAGGATCTTATTTCAAAGCGAAAACCAGATTATTTATCTTACCCTATTCACAGATTATTTTGCTTGTTTTAAAGTAAAAAACTAATTAAATTTTTATTTAATATTTCTAAAAACAAGACCATTTTTCATCTTGTCTTTAAAATGCTTCTTGATTTAAGAATTTTTAGATATTTCAACTAGAAATACGTCAAACTCTCTTGCTGCATAAAAGAAATTAAATAGCTTGTGTGGATATTCAAGAAGTTTTCAGACCTTTCAATAATTAAATAGTCTACAATAGTTAAGGAGAACCAAATAGTTCTGGCATAATAATAAGCAGTTCCTTAAGTACATTATGCTCTGTTAAAGGGAAAACAAATTCAGGCAAGTTGTATACTCAGCAAACCCTCTAATTTTAACATACAAACTCTACATTCAGTATTTGAAGTAAATTTTAAGACCTTAGCCAGGATAGCTTCATATTTAATTTTTGACATGGCCGCCCACCGAGCAGTTTTTGTGTTTAATAGATGTCTAAATACATCTAAACAGATCCATTTATTCATTTTCCTTCAAGTCCTTTTATTCATGAGGGTTTGCCACAGCGGAATGAACCGCCAACTATTCCAGCATATGTTTTACACAGCGGATCCCCTTCCAGCTGCAACCTAGTACTAGGAAACATCCATACACACTCATTCACACTGATACACTACGGCCAATTTAGTTCATCCAATTCACCTATAGCGCATGTGTTTGGACTGTGGGGGAAAGCGGAGCACCCGAAGGAAACCCACGCCAACACAGGGAGAACATGCAAACTCCACACAGAAACGCCAATTGACCCAGCCGGGACTCAAACCAGCAAACTTCTTGCTGTAACACGACAGTGCTTACCATAGAGCCACCGTGGCACCTAGACTTTACAATACAGTACAACTTTACAGAACAATAGCCCAAAATAGACTAGTCATCAAATACACAGATCAGACATGTGTAGTCATTCATTCCTGTCTACTTTTGGACTGTTAGATTAGATTTTCACTGAGGGCCAAAATTAAACCTTGCTTCAGCCAAGAGATCTATGTTTAGACATCTATTATTATATTCTTGCTATGTGTGAAGGATCAGCTGATTCGAAGGTTATCACTCGATTAAATGGCCGTTATCAGTGGTTATCAGCTGATAGATATGGGCTAGTAGAGGCCTTCTGCGCCTACTGGTAGCCTACTGGCTGCTTATCATCCATCCGCAAGGTTAATCAGCTATACATATTTATATTATTTATTAAATTCACCATTAATTGTATTTTATTAATGTCTACCCCTACGCCAACCCTAAACCCAAGCATCACAGTAATGTAAACACAGATCTGGAGTCTTCTCTATTAGGCCTCGTTTACACTAATGCGTTTTAGTTTGAAAACGCATAAGTTTTGCTACGGTTACGCCATCCGTCCACACTACGCTGGAGTTTTCGAGCGCCAAAAAACGGAGCGTTTTGGAATCACTGGAGAGGCTGTTTTTATTCTAAAACGCTGCTGCTCCGTCTCATGTGGATGAAGGAAGACATCTGAAAACGGAGGCAGGGCTCCCGAGATTTGCTAGCTGATTCCCTTATTCATCAAGCCCCTATCACATGACTATAACACACGGCTTTTACGCTAAGGGAAGACAACAGACCAGCCTTCACTGTAAACAACAACATGGACACAGAAATAGGAGCGTTGTTTGCACTATTGTCTGTTTTAGGCGCCGTTGTGCAGTTAAACTCTGCCTTTGTAACTACAGCAGCGGCATATATTCGCTAGATTTTGCATGCCCAGAGTGCGCGAATGGTCACGTGATATACATTTTTGGAGAAGTAGTGTGGATGGCGATATGTTCAGAAACGCTAGGTGAAACGCTAGTGTGGACGCGGACCGTTTTTTATCTAAAACGCCGTTTTCAAACTAAAACACACTAGTGTAAACGGGGCCTTAGTACAGCTGATTAACCATGTGGATGGATGATAACAGCCTTCTGAGCCTACCATTAGGCGCAAAAGACCCCTACTGACTCATATCTATCAGCTGATAACGCCCATTCAATCAAGTTATAACATTCGAAGCGGGTGAAAGGATACAACTGATTGTACCATTTTTTGTAACAATATACAGATGGACAAAAGCTCTTTCTGAAGAAAAAAGTTTACATGATGTCTTTGGATTTTTAAAACGTACGGATGACCTTATTGTCAAAGCGATCACTTGGATCTGCAACATCCTCTAAAAAGTAGTGTAATGCCAGTAGTTTAGTAAAACAAATAAAAGCCAAAGTAAAACAAATAAGACTTACTCCAGAAGAAAAAATATGATCGGAATTACTGTGAAAATTTCCTTGCTTTGTTACACATCATTTGGTAAATATTTGAAAAATAAAATCACTATTAATTAATTGACTTCAACTGTATATCAGGTGTTACGGTTCTTGGTGTGAACATGTATAAAATCAGCCCTTCACATCCTCCTTTTCCCCCATGCTAAATTTAATATGGTGGCTAACCTGACTAAGAAACAAATCATCTCTCATCTTAACTAAACACCGGTTATATTAAGGAACTGTGCAGTTTTTAGCTTCGAATATGACTAAAGATTCATTCTATTGTATGAAACCCATACATTACGTAACCATACCATAAAATCAAGGCCTTCTGGGAACCCTTAAAATCCTCCTTCAGAGATCCAGCGTGAAAGCCGTCTGTCAGTCGAATCATACCAATAACTACAGGAATCAATTGCCTGAGGAATCAAATACTGAAATGGTGGAATTCACTCTTGCTAATAGGTGTATCTGGACAAAGGCGTGTCTTCAAGAAGATCATCCTGCACAAAAGCAAATGCATTTTTTTTACATACATTAATGTGAATTTGTAAAACATGCCACACAACATTTAGAAAATATGACCAACCACTGCTGTGTAGATCTACAGTTGAAGTCAGAATTATTAGCCCTCCTGAATATTTGTTACCCTAATTTGTGTTTAACAAAAAAATAGATTTTATGAACACACTTCTAAACATTAAGGGCTCTATTTAACAAAATAAGTGCAGAGTCTAACTTAGACTAAAAGCATTAAGGATGTGTCTGAATCCACTTTTTCTATTTTAAGGATGGAAAAACACGCTCTGTGCCCAGGAGCATGGTCTAACAGGGTTGTGCTTATTCCAACCCGGGCTCATTGTGGAAACGTAGCCCTGCGGACGTTTCTGCGGACCGCGAGATACGTCCCAGGAGGTACGTATTCGAGCGGTTTTTGTTTTCGCGGATCCGCGAGAGGCCGCTGTGCGCGCTTTTTCGCGTCTCGGGCACCTCTCGGGAGCGCGCGCCGTTCTCGCGCGAAAAGCTGCTGGAACGGCCGACTCAGCCGCCCTCCTCTTCCTCCTCCTCCTTCCCTAAACCCAAGCGACGGTTTGCAAAAGCCGTCCAGAAAAAAAAAAAAGCAAAAGCTCTCGTCTTCGATTTCGACCGCGTTTTCGGATCCCGCCCCGTTCTCGCCCTTATTTTTTGGATTCTGTTGTTCGTCTTACCTGATTTCCGGAATCACTGTTCCCCGGACTCGATCCCGGTCGTCGTCCCCGCGGCCGGCTCCTCCTCCTCCTCTGGGGCCTCCGCCGACGCAACGCTGTGAGCTAAGCGGACAAACTGGTTGCATCGGGAAAGCCCTCCACTCGGAGGTGAGCCGTCGGCAGGCGAATGCGAAGAGAAGGGGCGGAGCGGCGCCACACCGCCTTGCAGCGTTCGCTTGAAAAAAAACTAAACTCGTCCGTACGTACCTCCGGCTACGTAAATCGCGGTCTCCAGAAACGTCCGCGGGGCTACGTTTCCAGAATGAGCTTGGGTGGGCTTATTCCTTTAATGAGTTATGGGTAGGCCCACCTGGAATCTGATCGTGCAGATTTTTGGCCCATCATTAACTCTGTTTATTTACTTGAGCAAATGTGTGTAAATCTATATTTATTCAGTTTTTTTATTAATTTCAGTAATATTATTGACTAATGTGAAAATGTTCATCTGATTTATGCACAATGCAGTTAGTACAGAAAAATTTTCTGTCTTTTACTAGATATATTATTTGACAAACTTGCTTTATTTACCAAATAAAGTGAATCTAATTGGATTTGCATTTTAAACATTAAATAAAAGTTAAAAAGATATTATTTTTGATTTCATATGATAAGGTTTTAGTTATGATACTCCCAAAATAATTCCGCAGAAATCTGCAGACTTTTACCAAAGTTCTCCGTAGAAATAGCAAAAAACGTCTGCAGATTCCGTCTGGCCATAGTTATGGGTTTGTTTTAAACAAATAGAGTCTCAGCTCTCATTCCCTTTAAGAGTTAGGTGCGTCACGCCATGGCACATTTGCTATTTACATGGCGGACTTTGTAAGTGGAAAAACTGGATGCTTTATTAGCGCTACTAACAGTTAAACAGACCATCTGTGTGAGAATAAAGAATAACCCTCTTTCATTCGGCCTCTTTACTTTCTCTTTACTCCTTTACTTTTGTGGAAAAGAAAACGGTGGACTTCGCTGAAGACACCCATTAGCCTACATAATTAATATCATTTGTTAAGCGCAAAGATTTGTTTCAAAACTACTTCTAAATTCAGTTCTAATTTCTAGCAAACTAATAAATGAACAAGAATAAGGAAGTGTGGTCAAAAAACTTATCCAAACACACGTGCTGGTCTTATGCCCCATATGGTGATGCAGATGTCTCCAAAACCCAACAGGAGGACAAATCTTAACTTGTTTTTATTAAAACAAATATAAATATACATATAATAAATAATACTGCTGATAATAATAACATTATACAAATGCAGAATGTCATGAATAAACTAAAACAATGCATGGAGGCATGAAGGAGGCATGAAGGATGCGGTGTTTATATCTGTGTAAAAAATTATAGTTTTTGTAACATTTTAATCCTTTAATTTTTTTTCATCTGTCAAGATATTTGCGTGTTGCTGTACATCCTGTCTGTATTAAGCAGTGTGTTAAAAAAAAAAAAAAAACTCTATATAGTTGTCAAAGCGTGAGACTCACCATTGGCAGATCTTGAAGCCGGTGGAACTCTGGATGTTCGCTCCGCTGGCGAAACCTAAGGAAGAGCACGGCTGAAACCATGGCAGTGCAGATGATAAAAATGGTGACCAGAGCGGCCAGCAGGGGGTCCAGGGGGGATGCTGGACGGTGCTGAACTTTCCCAGATTCTGAAAGATGGATGGATTGAGTAAAATCTCAGTATCATCACTACTATCATAGGAACTAATACAACTGAAGGAACAACATGTATTGAAGGAACATAATGAACAATCCTCCCTATGGTGCATAGTAGGGCTGCACAATGTATTGTTTCAGCATCGCAATAGGCCTTTTTCACAGACGGTCGAACACACATCTGGTACAGCGATAGTTGCGTATCGATACCTCCAGCCGAAGCAATGGAGTCAGATACGCTAGTTTTTACTTCCTCTTTGAAAACTTTGCCAACATTTACCATTTACAGCGGATGTTTATTGTCTTGTGGATCGCTCTACACTCTAAACTTAATTCAAGAGTTCACACTTAGCTGATGATTGATAATAAAGCTAGTTTGGCGTGCTCTCCCGGGAGAGAGCCCTGAGCTTATAAGATCCTCGAGCCCTGGGCTCCCTCCCGTTGCAAGGTGAGAGGGGAGTTTAAGCTCAGGTAGATCTCGATGACTCCCCCTCTTGCTTGTTGTAGCTAACTGTCAGATATGGATGCGGAAAGGTGTATTCAGAGTTTAGCTAAAGTATTTGGATTAATTGTTTAGAATGCCGTCTGGTTTGGAAAGGAATTAAACCAGGGGTATTCTTGCTGTGAGGCAACAGCGCTAATCGCTGGCCACCGTGACGCCCGTTTAAAAGGAGGGAAAGTAGGGTTGGGTGGGGGAGTTTCTTCAAGACGAAGATATTGAGATGAGAAAAGTCTGGTTATTTATAGTGAGTTAAGGATTGTCTGATAGGATAATCAGTCATTAGATAAAGTTGGAACAGCTGTGAACAATTATAAGCACGTGATCCTCTCGAAATTTGTTTATAAATAAACTTCACTAAATGATATACGTTGTTTCATGTAGCTATGTAGCTACATATAGCTACGCAAAGAAATAGTAAAGGTGCAGGTTCCCTCTCATCAAACATTTATACATCGTATATTTATTATACATTTACATTTTATACATGTATTTAAACATTTACTATTATAATGTATATTACATACGTTACCTCCCTTATATCTCTTAACGGTTTAAAACTACTCTTGAGCCTACGCTATGATAAAGGTATCACTCATTCATTTTCTTGTCGGCTTAGTCCCTTTATTAATCCGGGGTCACCACAGCGGAATGAACTGCCAACTTATCCAGCAAGTTTTTACGCAGTGGATGCCCTTCCAGCCGCAACCCATCTCTGGGAAACATCCACACACACATTCACACACACACTACGGACAATTTAGCCTACCCAATTCACCTGTACGACATATCTTTGGACTGTGGGGGAAACCGGAGCACCCGGAGGAAACCCACGCAGGGAGAACATGCAAACTCCACACAAAAACGCCAACTGAGCCGAGGCTCGAACCAGCGACCTTCTTGCTGTGAGGTGAAAGCACTACCTACTGCGCCACTGCTTCGCCCTATGATAAAGGTATCTTTCGCACAAATGTAAATACCCTTTTCTAAACCATGCTAATGTATGGATCGTCACCCACCTTCATAATTAAAAATTTAATTTCTGTGGATAAACGTATATCCTTTATTAAGTTTAGAGTGTGGAGTGATAGAATGTCGGTCCACAAGACAATAAACATCCACTGTAAATGGTAAATATTGGCACAGTTTTCAAAGAGGTAGTGAAAACTAAAGTATCTGACTCCATTGCTCCGGCCTGAATTATCGATACGCAACTTTATCCGATGTGTGTTCGACCGTCCGTGAAAAAGGCCTATGTGCACATCCACAATAGTCACATTGCAGGATCTGCAATGCTAACTTGGGATTATGTCGTTTAGGATTACTCAATCATTCATTTTCCTACGGATTAGTATCTTATTTATCAGTGGTCGCCACAGCGGAATGAACCGCCAACTATTCTGGCATATGTTTACGCAGCTGCAATCCAGTTCTGGGACACACCCATACACTCTCACATTTACACACACAATCATACACTATAGCCAATTTAGTTTACCTAATTCACATAGAGCGCATTGGACTGTGAGGGAATCCGGAAGAAACCCACATGAACACGGGGAGAACATGCAAAGTCAAACAGAAATGCCAGCTGACCCAGCCAGGACTCAAACCAGTGACCTTTTTGCTGTGAGGCGACAGTGTTAACCACTTAGCCACCATTGACTGAACACCCCTGGTTAAAACTATTCCGTTGGGCTAAATGACAGGGAAACATTTGCTATCCACACACCTTGATCTCCCACGTCCAGTTCGGATGGTTCGTCCGGGTCTTCGAGAGGAGCAGGTCCAGTGCTCTTTGAACTGCTGGTTAGGGCGAGCTGAGATGTCTGTGGGTATGTGGGAGTCAATGGTGGAGCGGTTTGTGTGATCTGGGACACGCTACTGGCCGAAGTATTGACGCTCTGATGCCCTTCACTTGGACTGATGGATGTTGGAGCTGTGGATGCTTCTGACTCTGAAATGGTGCTCTTCGGATAAGACAGTGCTGTGCTGCTCACAGAAGAGCCTGCAAGGGATAAAACGACACAGGATTTGTTCACAGGCTTTGAACTAAAACGGGGACATGTTTAAAGGGTTCGCGCAAAAAAATTGTATTTACTGTTTTCTCTCACTCAAGTGGTTCCAAATGTTTATGAGTTTCTTTATTCTGTTTAACATAAAGGAAGATATTTTGTAGAAAGCTGAAAACCGTTAACCCTTGACTTCCATAGTCAGAAAAACAAATATCGTAATAACAAAGATATAACGTTTCAAGAAAGTCAAACAGGTTTGGAACAAATAAAGGGAGGGAATTTTAATGGTTTAAGAAAGAACAGACACACACACACACAAACACACCAACAGAGAAACAGACAGACACACACACATAGACAAAAACACACAAATGCATGCATGCAGCCAGGCATGGGGGGGTGCAGGTGCAGACAGACAGACAGACAGATAGATAGATAGATAGATAGATAGACAGACAGACAGATAGATAGATAGATAGATAGACAGACAGACAGACAGACAGACAGACAGACAGATAGACAGATAGATAGATAGATAGATAGATAGATAGATAGATAGATAGATAGATAGATAGATAGATAGATAGATAGATAGATAGATAGATAGATAGATAGATAGATAGATAGATAGACGGATGGATGGATGGATGGATGGATGGATGGATGGATGGATGGATGGACTGACGCAGACAGACAGACAGATGATAGATAGATAGACAGACAGACAGACAGATAGATAGATAGATAGATAGATAGATAGATAGATAGATAGACAGACAGACAGACAGACAGACAGACAGACAGACAGACGGACGGACGGACGGACGGACACAGAATGACAGACAGATGATAGATAGATAGATAGATAGATAGATAGATAGATAGATAGATAGATAGATAGATAGATAGATGGATGGATGGATGGATGGATGGATGGATGGATGGATGGATGGATGGATGGATGGATGGATGGATGGATGGGCGGACAAAGACAGACAGACAGACAGACAGGCAGGCAGACAGACAGACAGACAGACAGACAGACAGATAGATAGGCAGGCAGGCAGACAGACAGACAGACAGACAGACAGACAGACAGACAGACAGACAGACAGACAGACAGACAGACAGACAGACAGATAGATAGATAGATAGATAGATAGATAGATAGATAGATAGATAGATAGATAGATAGGCAGACAGACAGACAGACAGACAGACAGACAGACAGTAATTGTCCTCTGTTTTATTGTCTGCCAGGCAAAAGCTGTTCATCAGATCTTCTGTTTTGAAGGTGTTTTCTAGAAGTCATACTTAAGGTCTGGCCCGAGTGCAGCAAACCAATAAGTAGATATTCAAGTGCCCTAAATATAGCCGTGTTTCCAGCGAAATGACAGTAGGAGAGACGGATATTATTTACAAATGCAGTCGTGTTCCAAAATGTTACACCCACATCCAGCCTTTATTTACGAAGAGACGTTTGATCAAGTGGGCGGGATGTGGCACTTTCCCAGAGTTCAGTCCTGATTCAGACACATCAACTGCAGTGTTTTATCTTTAGTAGAGGAATACAGCTGTAACACACAGATGAAAACAAAAATGCAAATGCCAGAGCATAAAACCTGATTCGTTGTAGTCATAATTCTGCAATGAAAAGTTAGCACTGGCACCATCTTTACTGTTATCTTAGCTTAAAGTTGAGCAATCTGAAACTTTCAAAGGTCAAAACAATTGACAACACAGTGTTTAACATAAAAAAGATAACCAAATTAAAGAAATTCATACAATTCAATGATTCATTTATTTTCCTTCGACTTGGGTCCCGTTTACATGAATACGTTTAAGTTTTAAAATGGCGTTTTAGAACAAAAACGAACCGCTGAAAACACACATCATGTGACCACACACTCTGGCATGCACTGCAGCGTATGCGGATGGCTGAGCTCCAGGCAGTCAGCGGGTGCTTTGAGCACACCTGTCCAGATAAGAGCAGCGCACGTCAGACAGCTCATCAAGCCTCTGCCGCTTGATCTAAAGTTGTTAAACCTGATATTTAATTTATCTAGTCTTTAAGCACTCTTTGGTCTTTTGAGTCTATTGATTGTTCTCAGGTAATGCGTTTTGGCTGAGCGCAAAGATGAGCTAATATTAATCTATGTAACAATGTGCACTGATTCTGCACATTTGACTGAAGGCTTGCCTTTTCCATAGTGTATAAATGTATTGTACATTATACTTTTTATAATGGCCATTATTGATTTTTGAAACTGATATTCAGTAAAAGACACAGGGTATGTTTCATAATTTTCAATGAAAATGAAAGGAGGCAGTTACAGTGCATCTGGAAAATATTTATAGCGCGTCACTTTTTCCACATTTTTAATGTTACAGCCTCATTCCAAAATGCATTACATTTAATTATTTCCTTAAAATTCTACACACAATACCCCATAATGACAATGTGAAAAAAAAGAGTTTTTGAAATTGTTATAAATTTATTAAAAATAAAAAAACCTGAAAAATCACATGTACATAAGTATTCATAACCTTTGTCGTGAAGCTCTAAATTGAGCTCAGGTACATTCTGTTTCCACTGATCATTCTTGAGATGTTTCAGCAGCTTCATTGGAGTTCACCTGTGGTCAGATCAGTTGATTGGACATGATTTGAAAAGGCATACACCTGTCTATATAAGGTCCCAGGGTTGACAGTGCATGTCAAAGCACAAACCAAGCATGAAGACAAAGGAATTGTCTGTAGACCTCCGAGACAGAATTGTCTCGAGACACAAGGCTTGGGAAGGTCACAGAAAAAATTCTGCTGCTATGAAAGTTCCAATGAGCACAGCGGCCTCCATCATTCGTAAGTGGGAGATGTTTGGAACCACCAGGACTCTGGAAGCTGAGTAATCAGGGTAGAAGGGCCTTAGTCAGGGAGGTGATGGTCACTCTGTCTGAGCTCCAGCGTTCTTCTGTGGAGAGAGGAGAACTTTACAGAAGGACAACTATCTGTGCAGCAGTCCACCAATCAGGCCTGTATGGTAGAGTGGCCAGACTGAAGCCACTCCTCGCCTGGAATTTGCCAAAAGGCATCTGAAGGACTCTTAGACCATGAGAAACTAAATTCTCTGGTCTGATGAGACTAAAATTGAACTCTTTGAAGTGAATGCCAGGCGTTACATTTGGAAAAAACCAGGCACCGCTCATCACCAGGCTAATACCATCCCTACAGTGAATCATGTTGGTGGCAGCATCATGCTAAGGTGATTTTTTTTTTAGCAGCAGGAACTGGAAGACTAGTCAGGATAGAGGGAAAGATGAATGCAGCAATGTACAGAGACATCCTGAATGAAAACCTGCTTCAGAGTGCTCTTGACCTCAGACTGGGGTGACGTTTCATCTTCCAGCAGGACAAAGACCCAAAGCACACCACCAAAATATCAATGGAGTGGCTTCACAACAACTTGATGAATGTCCTTGAGTGGCCCAGCCAGAGCCCGGACCTAAATCCTATTGAACATCTCTGGAGACATCTGAAAATGGCTGTACACCGTCTCTTCCCATCCAACCTGACAGAACTTGAGAGGTACTGCAAAGAGGAATGGCCAAAAAATTCCCAAAGACAAGTGTGCCAAGCTTGTGGTATTAAGTATTGTATTAAGTAAAGTATTAAGCAATTACTTATGTACATGTGATTTTTCAGGTTTTTTAATTGTAATAAATTTGCAACAATTTCAAAGACTCTTTTTTTCACATTGTCATTATGGGGGATTGTGTGTAGAATTTTGAGGAAATAAATGAATTTAATCCATTTTGGAATAAGGCTTTAACATAAACAAGTGTGTAAAAAATGAAGCGCTATGAATACTTTGACGTTGCTATACAATATACGATGCTCTGTATATTAGGCTACCAGCAGAACATATTCAGAGGATCCTGCAAATTTTGCAGTGGCAACTTCTATAAAAACGCTGACTGGGAAATTGTTAATGTAAACATTCACATGTTGAGCTCGTCCAATCAATGCCACTCTAAATATGCAAATAAGGTCATTAACCCAGAGTTTGTAGAGAATGTAAAGTGTGAAACAGAAGCTTATGAATAAATTATGAGCATTGCCAAACATAAATAACCCCGAATTCAGATTACCCAAGGGTTTAAAAAAAGACTTAATTATTTCAAGTGCGAAAAGTCTTATTGTTAGTTCCTGAATACTGATCTAATGTTAATTCAAGCCTTTCTCAGTGTAAAATTGTATGCATTTTTGCTGCCTGCTCTTTCATGTTGTTCTCAATGACAAATTTGTTTTCAAAGCTAAGTTAAGTTGATTAATGACAGCTAGCATTTGAAATTGGATTAGGTTTAATTGCATTAGTCTTGCCTGGTACCGAGGCGGTGTCCATGTTGAGGGTGGTGGTCTGTAAATGCGAGGTGTCATTCTGCACTGCACCATCTTTGGATGACTGTGATGATGGAGATCCATTCGCTGTGACCTCAAAACTTGATAAATCCGTCGGAGGAGAGGAGACCATGGAATCGGCAGTACCGGGTCGTGAATCACTTTTAGGAGTCATGTGATATTCAGAAAGGACTTCGTTAAGCGTAGACGTCCCATCTGTGGATGAGTCTGTTCTTTGACCTTGAAAAGAAGTAGAAAAGATCTGCATGAGCAAATGCTTCCAGCTTGATTATTTTATTTTTGTTAATTTATGTTCATTATTATGTTTATTGTTGTTTTTTTAAATAATCACATAGCTTAGTCACACCTTACAAAAAAAAATTTCAATAGTTAAAAAGGATAGTTCACTCAAAATTGAAAATTCGGGCATCATTTACCAACCGTTGACTTGTTACTAACTCAGGGGCTCGAAAAGGTTACAAGTTCTGTTGTTATGATTATAGTTTAGAGATTTGGTGTTTCTCGAATCGGTCATTCCAACAAACATTCGCAAAATGTGTCGCAAATGTCTGCGATTGCAACTACTTCTCTAGAGCTGTAGTTAGAAGCTAAGTTCATGGCTGTGTTCTATTCCGACTTATCCACAACACCATATTAGTTAAAAAGGACTTACAATAAACAAATGTATTACAATTAACTAACATTAAAGTCTGCTTGAAATAAAAAAAATGCTATGTTTATTTTGCTAGCACACATTGTTTATAATTAATATATACAAGTGCAATCCACTGAAAAACATGTAAGTTTTGGTAATCTTTAATAAACGTCAGACTATTTGCATCCACGTTTGAAGTGGCAATCCTTCTGTTGAAATCAACCTGAGGGCTTCCATAGCAACTGCATGTTAATACCCTTTGTCATCGTTAGTTTGCTATGAGGGATTGATTCGATAAATAAAGCTCCACCCCTACTCAATATTTCACGCCAACATGGTGAAAACATGCAAACACCACACAGAAATGCCAACTGACCTAGCTGGGACTTAAACAAGCTACCTTCTTGCTGAGAGGCAACAGTGCTACCCACTGAGCCACCGTGCCGCCCATTTTTGCTAAATGTATAATACGTTGCTCCAGGTACGTTTCGTTACATGTTTCAGATGACAAATCCACTAGAGGGCGCTGACGCGCTGTCTATATTTTTGTGAATCTTAAATACGTAACTTCGGGTTCGTATATTGTCCTTGTACACAAGGTAAGCTACTGAGCAAACTGCAACTTTTGTGAAGCATCAAATCACCGTCATATTAGCTGTCAAAACGTGCATGACTGCATACATTTTTTATTTAAAAAATCAGTGGAATATTGTCTATTACTATACAAAAATTGTACTAAAGCTGGTACCTTAAAATTGTATGCGTTTGTATCAAAAAAGTCCATATTAATAAATGTTCTTGAAAAGACTTTATATAAAATAAGCCTGCTCTCGAGTAGGTTTGAGCTTCCAGAACTGTGACTATAACAGAAAATCTCTGATGAGGTTTGAAGAATGAAACAATCCTGGATCGTCAATAACCAAATCCAGCTAATTGAGTAATCCATGTACCAAGAACAGATCCTAGGTGGCAACGAATCAAACATGGTAAACAAGTGAAAAGTCAAAAACGCTGGAAGACTAGACAAGGGAAAACCACTTTGTAATGTTAGCAAGTTAACAAGACTCAGCAAAGTATCTGTGAAAGTGAGTGGCGTATCGTCCTTGTAATAACTGATAATGAGTTTCAGCTGAGTGCAAGGAGTTCTGGGATATGGAGTTCAGCAGGAATACAGAAAGTAATCTCCAGCGGAGAAAACCCCTCTGGCGATCACAACAGGTAATAAATAAATTTTGGTGCATTTGAACAAAACAGATTTATTAAATGGATATATTTATTAAAATAATATTTTATTCACTGAACATCTTTAGAAATTGAAAGATTATACATTTAAATTCATGCCAAATATTGGGGGAAAAATACAAGCTACAAAATTTTAGCTAAGTTTTATACATTTCAAATTTACTTTGAATTTTGAATGTTTTTCCCTAACATATAAATTTGGGTGTACTTGTTTTTGGACGGTTATCATAATTTATTTTATTAGATTAGCTCCAGATTTGGCTTCAGTACAGACTAATCTAATGTATATGCACAAATATACTATTGTAAAGCTTCCTTTATAAAACATTCATTTAAATGAGAGATTTGTGAGGGGTGTACTCATATTTGTTGAGAACTGTATGCAGTATATTATACATACTTTTTTGAATATTAATCATTATTAATCATTTGACAGCACTAGTCAATGAAATCTTATTCAAACTGTTACCCAAAAATTCCCATAACAACTGTGCTTAATAAATATGGTCATTTAAAAGGAAAAAGAGCATGAGATTTGATTTGGGTGAAGCCAAAGGATGAACGCTGTGTGTTTTCTCATGCTGATCGGTTACGTGGGCGTTTCAGACCGGATCTGTACAGACGAGTCTAATGGTCACGCAGCGAATCCACAGAACAAAGCAGTTGTGACCTTTACAAGTCAAGAAGCAGCAGAGGAGCAAACAAAGCAGATGAATGGAGATTCTGATATCACACGTGCAGCTTCCTTTTGATGATTTAAAAAACAAAAAGAAAGAAAATATTACTTAATATAATCGTTTATCGTAGCTGACTTATAAGTAGGTTACAAGTTAATGAGTACGTTTTTAAAAGAGTACTCCGGTTTATATGTATGAATTAGGTTTATTTTACTTGGATATCTAAACACTTTAAAAAACAAAAAGAGTATGACATGTCTTACTAAAGAGTGATTTTATAGACAGTTTACATGTTTATGTGTACATGTATGGATCAAAGGAAATATATTTGCAGCTTCTGTATACCTTGCTTTGCCTTTAAAATAAGTTTTAAAATTACTTTGAAAAAAAAAGTCATTACAAGTGTTATCAGTGCTTATTAACAGCAGCTGTTACTGTTGCCTGGTGACAAGATCGTCTCATTTCAAAATGCCCGGTTTGGCCTGTGTGGACTTCGAAGGACTCACCTGTGAAGTCTGCATCCTTCGGCGGATGCAGCCTCTGAAATGAGACACAGCTAATGTCTTTGTTTGTGTTCAACAGAAGAAAGAAACTAATAGTTTTTGAGCAAGGGAAGGGTGAGTAAATAATGACAGAATGTTCATCTTTGGGTGAACTATCCCTTTAATGAGAGAAAGTTGTTATAAATATTGGCTGGGGAGCAAAAATATTTCACAAATTTATTTATTTTTTCTGTTCCCAAGTATATGGTGAATATATAAGCCTCTCATTTTAAAATTGTAGTTTATAAATGAAATTGGTGAATGTCGACATACTTTTCAACAGTGTATGTCTGGATATTGGTAGGCATGGTACGATAACAGTGTTCAAGGTATACTGAGGTTTGGAAAAGTCAAGTTTTTAAACCATCAAAATTTTCTGCTATACCGTTCCTAAGGTATGAGTAAGATTTTTTATTTACATTTTCTTTTTAGGACAATAGTATCTCCAGCAGAAAAGATCTCCAAAGATGCCATTTTAAATTGTAATGAAATCAGCCTTTTTGAATCAAATGAAGACAGCAGAAGTCAAAAATTCATTTGTATTATTTAGCCTGACATGTTTACCTTTCCAAAATATTTTAAATGTTTCCCAAATTAAAATATATTGTGTTCAAAGGGGGAACAGTTTTTGTTTTTTAGTCAAACATTTAAAAAGAATATATTTTAGAGCAGTAATCGTGATACCATGAACCCGTGATATCTATATCCAAGGTTAACATACCATCACACCTTATACCGACCCATGCCTAATATTTGGATAGGTGTGTGATTGGGTATATCGATAATCTTTGTAAAATTCAAAATTACAATAATATTTAAAAGTTTTTACAAATGATCTATAGTTTTTGTTTCTATTCTCAAATACAATTACAATATTTTAAATGCACATAATGTTTAGTAAATATTTTACATAAGAACTATTGAGTTTTTTTTTTTTATTATTACAAAATATCCCTTTAATTGCCCCACCAACAAAAAAAATTGTTTGGGTTGCATTTCTTAATACCTAATATTGCTAGTTAACACACTCTACACTTAACACTTTCTAAAATATCAACCATATGGTAGAGATTGATATGTCGGTTTATGGTAAAAGTACCAAAATGAATACATATACTATGAAAAATCAGACAATAGGATGTGTAAGACCAATTTATTTAAAAACAATCAAAATAAAACATTTTTTAATAATAAATCATGTTTATTTTTTAAAGTATGCAATAAAATATTTCAGATTCTCATTTAACATGTTTTCTTTTCTTTTTTTTTTTACAATAACCAAAATTAAGTGTAGTAGTGCAACAGAATTATGTTTGTTTGATTTTTTTTTTTTCTTTTGTAAACCAACAATGCTGTGTGTGTAAACTATTATTTAAAACAGTGATTCTTTAAATGACTTTAACAGTCATTATTTAAAACAGTCAAAATATGGTATGTTATGGCAGTTAAAGGGAATGATTGTTCCTATTTTAATATTTTCATCTTTGGCATATTTTTACATGCAAACTATCTATGATAACATGTATTTCATAATAAGAGTAGACAACAAAGCAAATTAATGGACGAATGTGTTTGGCTAAATGGATTTATTATCCAGATTTACTGAAACATTTCAAATTATTTCACGAATAAACTGTTGTCATTGTTTTTATTCCTAAATTGTTAACATTTTACATTTACTTAAGTATGTAAAAATATTTTCCTATTCTTTAAATGTATTGTAGCTATTTTAACGTAAATTGTTAATGATAGCATAATATTTTAAAATAGGAGATGATAGATAGATAGATAGATAGATAGATAGATAGATAGATAGATAGATAGATAGATAGATAGATAGATAGATAGATAGATAGATAGATAGATAGATAGATAGATAGAATAAAACAGTAGTGACTCATAAAAAAACATGTAAGGGGAAAAAAAGCCTGACAACACTATAACATTACAGAATTCATGTCGCTGGATTCATGCAGGTATAAGCATACCCTTACCTTTTAAGACAGATAAATGAAGAACCATGGCAGTCCAAACAATAAAAGCGTTTCGAGTCCTCATGGTAAATAAAGCGACTGAACGCGAGCGCGCGCACCGACACCGTGTAGCCTCGCTCTGTGAATCCCGGGATGATTTTTCCGTTAGATGACAGCGGACATCATCATCATCAGAGCTAAAAATATCCCCGAGGGTCTGGGCTTCAGCAGCGGGGTGTGGTTAACCGCAACCTATGCTCGAGAAACGACGACTTCTGTATAAAGACAGCCACGAGTAAAGGGCTTTGGACGTCGACTGTAATGTCAACGGTTTGCGCGTGAATTTGCGTTTGAAGTGAATGACGTGTATCGCCGTCAGCTGTTATTTAGAGCGACCCACGTGTGTGTCAGTGGACCATCCCGTCAGAAATACACACAAACACGCACACATGACCTGAGAGAGTCTACAAACACCCCCTCACAAATTTCCACTCAGGACACAAGGAGCTGAATGTGGAGCGAGCATGACCGCAGAGGAGTTCACGGTGGAGGCAGTGGAGAGGGTGAGTACAGGACCGAGTGGCCAAAAAGAGTCACAAAACACTCAAACATGTGTCCCTCAGCCATTTTTGGACGAGACTTATTAACAATAATCGACTAATAACACTAATTTTCTTCAAAACATATCACTTAAGCTGTCTATATAATGGCAAAAGGCCAGTTGTGTCCTTTACTTTAGAAGCTCAACTTGTCACCAAACCTTTTTTTGCTTGTTCAAACTACTTATTAAATATGAGTTTAACCAATCCAACAGAACCTAATTGTTTTATGTTTAATCCACTTAAATTTGTAAAAATGATTATGTTAACTTAATTGAATAGTGTTGCGACAACACGAAGGAATTGAGTGGAACCCAGCATTTTTACTGTGTAAATAGATAGATAGATAGATAGATAGATAGATAGATAGATAGATAGATAGATAGATAGAATGCGGAGGAGTTCAGGGTGGAGGCAGTGGAGAGGGTGAGTACAAGACTAGTGGCCAAAAGACTCACAAAACACTCAATCATTTGACTTGTTGACAATCATCGACTAATAACACTAATTTTCCTAAAAACATGTCACTTAAACTGTCTATATACAGGGCCGGCGCGTCTATAGAGGCGACCTAGGCGGCCGCCTAGGGCGGCAGTATAGAGAGGGCGGCATCAGCGACACCTCCATCAGCACCCGCGTGTCCTCAGTTATATCCGCGTATAGGGCGGCAGAATTGAGGTCCGCGACACCCGCGCGTCCTCAGTTATATCCGCGCATAGGGCGGCAGAATAGAGAGCACAGTGTCCGCGACACCTCCCTCCCACCCTCCCTCAGCACCCGCGCGCCCTCAGTTATATCCGCGCATAGAGCGGCAGAATAGAGAGCGCAGTGTCCGCGACACCTCCCTCCCTCCATCCCTCAGCACCCGCGCGTCCTCAGTTATATCCGCGCATAGTGCGCTGGAAAAGAGGTCCGTGACACCTCACTTAATTTTCATAACCGGTCACTTTCGTTTTCACATTGGGGTTAAGGGCTGCATGATCGTCCTCTGCCTAGAGCGGCAGTTCAGCTTGCTTTGGCCCTGTCTATATAACGGCAAAAGACTAGTTGTATCATATATTTTAAAAGCTCAACTTCTCACCAAATGATTTTCTTAAATGTATTGATCCTTTTTTTAGTTTACTAAAATACTTAAAAACATTTTGCAAATGAACAGTTGAAATTTTTTTCCCTATTCTTGAACATATTGTTACTATTTTAACGGAAATTGTAAATAATAGCTTAACATTTTGTCAAGAGTGACTGCATACACTCAGAAAATACTTTTGCTGCTTGGTCAAACTACTTATTTAATATGAGTTGAACCAATCCAATTCTTAAGTTTTTTCGGACAACTTAATTGTTTTATGTTCAATCTACTTAAATTTGTTAAAATGATTATGTTAACTTGATCGAATTGTGTTGGAACAACATGAAGGATCCGTCGGTCAGTCAGTCATTCAGTCAGTCGACAGCGGCAGGTGGATGTACATGAGAACAGCAGGCGTGAGTGGCACTCATGTGAGAAATCTGAGATCTGAAAAAGCATACACAGCGGCCTCTGGTGGATTCACGAAAATAAAAACTGCAAAAGAAAAAAAAATGTATTTGGCGCTCTCCAGAAATGTATATAAGGGTACGTTTTCAGAATGAGCCTGGGTTGGTTTAAGACTTCAATAAAAACTGACTAAATAGGGTTTTTTAATTTAATGCTGAAAACAACTCAAACATGATTATAATAGCCTATTATGATGATACCTCTCACACCGTTTAAGCTTTGTTCACTCTGTTAATCAACTATTACTTTATAAAACAATGATCTCAGACACGCAGGCTTTCTTTGTGCTTCCTTTACTTCACATCCATGCGCATAACACTAACGTCACACCTAACCATACATGGTCTGTCAAATCCTCCCATCCTGCTGTCTATCTACATAACATATTGTAACATCTTTTCTTTTTTTTTTTTTTTTTGAACAATGTATACACAGTATTATGTGCACTGTATGCAAGAAACAACATAACATTACAACTTGTGCACAACAGCATAACACTGACGCACTTCTAGTTTTATTTTCAGAGCTGTTGCCTCAGTCAAATCAAGCCAAATGCAGAAAAAAAAATGCGTAGCAACAGTTGGATATTTCCATTTTCATATATTGGAGTGTGACTTTAAATTTTATTGACAAACAACTGATAATTATTCATTCATTCGATTTCTTTTCGGCTTAGTCCCCTTTATTAATCCGGGGTCGCCACAGCAGAATGAACCGCCAACTTATCCAGCACATGTTTAACGCAGCGAATGCCCTTCTAGCTGCAACCTATCTCTGGGAAACATCCATACCCACCCTTTCACACTCATACACTATGGACAATTTTTGCTTACCCAATTCACCTGTACCGCATGTCTTTGGACTGTGGGGGAAACCAGAGCACCCGGAGGAAACCCACGCAAACGCAAGGAGAACATGCAAACTCCACACAGAAACAGCAACTGACCCAACCAAGGCTCGAACCAGCGACCTTCTTGGTGTGAGGCGACAGCGCTACCTACTGCGGCACTGCATCGACAAGCTGTTAATGGTGAACATTAAATTTCATACATAATTCACCCAACATCAATTACATACTTTCTATTTCTAAATAAATGTATTTCACATCCAGATCCTCTCTGCTGAACTCAATTAGTTACTCGCATTTTTGGGATTTTGCCTTTGGAAGAATTTTATCCATTAATATTTCCTAATTAGAAATATTTGCACTACTCACAATGAAGCATCAAACCAACCCATGCCAAGGTGTTAATAACAGTTACTTTGCACCTTAAAACTAGTTCCTCTGCTTTTATAAGAGGACACTTTAAGGGTGAGAATAATCCCTAACACCTGAGTTAAAAGAAACTTGTGATAGTCATACAGCCAAGGGCTTTTAGCAGTAACTGCCAATTAAAGCTCCTAAATAAAGAGACGTAAAACCTGAGGTGAAATTTCATTAGCTTGATTCACTGATTGTAAGCAGAAGCTTTCTGAGGCCTCTGTTTCTTCATATTCCACATAATTCCACCCGAACAGCTGTTTGTAGGAATTTGGTCTCGTAGTTCAACACAATATAGGAGCTTCTGCAAGTGGAAGGTAACTCGATATTGCAAGAAAGCTGTGCTGGTCTAATAATAACTGCCAGCATGTGGAGGATTTGCTGTTTGGTTTATGTTGCTTCCCCATTGTGTCCTGAGATTTCAGATGCATCTATACATTCAATGTCTTCAGGAGAGAAAGGATATGATAATATGTGCACTGCCAATAGCAAAATGTTCTTGAGAGAGTGTCTTTATACTCATCAAGTGTGCGTTTTATCTATGTGATCAAAATATTGTAAAAAAAAAATAATAATGATGTGAAATATTATTACAAATTAAATTAACAATTTTCTATTCCAATGCAGTTTAAAATCTATTCCTATGAATATAAAAAATGTAACATAATCAAAGTTATATTTTAGATTTTATATATATATATATATATATATATATATATATATATATATATATATATATATATATATATATATATATATATATATATATATATATAGGTGGGCATAGATTATTTTTTTCTAATCTAGATAAATCTCAATGTAATCTTGGAATTAATCTAGATTAAAATGGCTCATTTGAATTCTGCCGAAGATCATAAATATAAATCATAACTGAACTAAAAAGAAATGGAATTAAGACATGGAGTATGCTTATATTAGTGGCATTATTGCAGTAAACACTGTAATCAAACTATTACCGTCATGTAGGCCTTTTCGCCATATTTTCCGACAAGATCCACACACTGTCAGTAAAGGACAGCACACACACACACACATCGTGAAATGCAGAAGTTTTTTTCTTTCCATTTGTTGTGCGTTATTAAATTCCATAACACTCTCACCAGTCCTTACTCCTTGTTTGCGTCTAATACCCCAGTTTGTCACGGGGGCATGAATGAAATGTTCATGAGTTAAAGTAAAAATGCCGAACTGCAATTAAAGTCAGTTAAAACTCTTACATGAAAGCACTTCACGTAAACACCTTTATTATATTATTGTCTATTAAAGCAAATAACTAGACCACAGATGTCCATGTAAGCTTAGTTAGTAGTGTCTTCAAAGTAAGTGAAAGATCCAGAAGGGCATCTGCTGATTTGATTCAGAAGGGCACTTTTTTGTCAGATGGCTCACCGGTCAGGTATACATCAGCTTTAAAATATCAAGGTGGAAGTCATCGTAGCTTGCGTAGAACAGACCCAGCTCCCAACCCAATTTTAAGAATAGATTAACGCCGATATTTCTTTTATCGCGCGATAAGAGTCTCACATTAAAACATAATATCGTCATTTTAGAATTATAAGGTTCTATCTGACATTTTTGTCAAAATTTAGTTATTCACATATTCTTATTAAATGACTACAACTTATTGACATTATATGATTTTAAAAAAAAGCTACTTTTATTTAACTTATTTTAATAACTTTTTAAGGCGTCTTATTTAAAAATGTATGTATGCTCTTTTCGATGCCAAAGAAAAGTCCATTGAGGGTGCTTTCACACCTGTGAATCGATTCAGTTGTTCCGAAACAGAGATTATAATGTTACATTGTTACTCTTTGCTCTTGGAGCGGTTCGCTTTCACATTGCAAAGTTTCTAAACGGACCAAAATAGCTAAAATAAGTCACGTGCGAGTAAACTCTCCTCACATTGGTCAGAGTGTCAGGGTTTATTTTGCAGCGTCCCGCTCAGCTGTCAGGAGAGGTGGTGGTTTGGTGGTGATTGACAGGGTGCGCGCGCGCGATGTGTCTGAGGAGAGATGCGGTGGGGAGGGGTGAGAAGGGTGCGCGACTATGCCTATTTGAGGA